TTCGTAATTGTGTTTCCTCTTCATGGACACAGTCAGGAATTGAACTTCGTGCTCATAAAATGGACCACAAACGTTTTGTTAGTGTTCAGGTCAAGTTATTCACAAACTTCTTAGATGATGTTGAGACCAATATTAATAATATATGACATAAAACACGATTAAAATGTTAAAATGTATTAACTCTCATTTATATCACTCTTTTTGTGTGTGTGAACTGGGGATGCAGGAAAATTCAATGCATTATTGATTTTAACAGCCAATTCTAATTACCACAATAAAACCCCATCATGCATTAGTTTCTGACCTAATTTCAGTGTTAAAAATCAAATATCTGGACAGAGACTCTCATTTTACTTATTCTTTCCACCTTCTCCTTGTTTTCAATGTCAAAGTAGGAGATAATAGAAACATCTTTTAGCTTTTTTTTTTTACAACTGTAAGTAGGTTAGTGGATTCAGCATTTAAATAAATAAACATGTATATAAAGAGTATGAAAAAAAGGACTGTATCCTTACGGGAACGCCCTACTCTGATGCCGGCTTTATATTTAATGGCTTTCTCTCAACACACAGAATTCTGACCCTGTGAGTGTGAAATCAAAGCAGACCCGCGGGCTCGGTGTGTGTTTCTGATCTCATGATTCCCTATGAGGACTTGATGGGTTTACCCTGGAAACAAACGCTTTCAGTTTCAGCATCGTGTTTTTCAGGTGGTTTCCACCAGAGGCATCACGCAGGAGTCATCGTTTACTCATCCAATCCCTTTTGACTTTCTGTTCTCCGCTGAACACAACAGGAGAAAATCTGAACATGAAGCTTTTATGAAGCTTGAATATTGTATTGTGTTCTAGTGTCATAGTCAGAGAAAGCCTCCTTTTGTGCTCTGAGGAAGAAGGAAAGTCTTTATTTTTCAGTGAACTCTTCTTGTCAATCAAGTTTTCTAAGCGTTTAACCAGTTGTATTACAACAACTGAACAAGCCGACTGAGTAAGTCTAGCCTCTGCCTGCAAACCTCGAAACATCCCTCTTCCTGTTGCCATGGTAACCGTGACACGTCTCATCATCGGTGTGTCTTGCCTTTACACTTTTAATTAAACTTCTTTTTTTAAAAGAAAGGAAAACAAATATTAAATGGTGTGGCGTTGTCCGATCTAAATGGGTTTAAATGGGTGAGCGGCTCTAATACGAGTGTAAGTCATGTAAAGATGGATAAACGCATCTCTAGATCGTTTTATTAAATGCAACTACAAACACTCAGTGTGATTCAGTTCTTTGTAATTTAATTAGTGACTCACTGAATTATTTGTAATGTCATGGAATTAACATCCGACTCACTAACCGTCACATCTTCTCTTGAATTTATTAATTCTCTTAATTACTGACAGAATTAAGAAATGTTATCAATATGTAAATATCCATTTTAAATTCCGTTTTTATTTCTGGAATCATGTTGAGCAGCATTATTACATTGCATATGGATTATGAATTGTGATTTGCTTATTGATTATTTTACAGTAAATAATTGCACTGTCACCCGGATTGAGGAAAGCTTTAGTTTCAGTCATAGGTTTTGTGTTTAGACTGACGAATGGAGGATATTAATAACCACATCTCACTGTAATGAGCCTTTTGGTTTTTCCTTGAACATCTCAGGACATTATTGTACCGCTTTGGCGCTTTTGACTCGATCGGTGCTAAAACTTTATCCTAAGATTTTTGTTTTGCTTTGCCTCTTTCTCTCTCTCTCTGGTTATTTTGTGGGATGTTGAGCTCCTGCTGCTCCACATGCACGTTTCTCATGATCCTGCATTAGGGATGCACCAAATATGATTTTTAATGATTTTTAATCCAATTTTTTTTTTATTACTGTTTTATTTTGTTTTACTGTGTCCTTGTTACACGTTACATGTTGTTACTGTAGTATTAACTTTATTCATAATTACATGCAACTAACCCTATAGTAAGTACATTTAGTTAATTATTGCACTGCACAGTACTTAAATGCATAATTACACTGCAACACAGAAACCTGAAATACAGTGCAACTTTTTTTTATTTGAACTTTTTGTATAATTATTATTTTTAAAGTAATTTTTTTATTTATTTGCTCTGTGACAGGGCGAATCTGTCTTAAAATGAGAGGCAATCACTGAATTTTAATTGAGATCTAAACAAAGGTTATATACACATTTAACATGAGCAGTTGTTTTTCATTTAAATTAAATGCCATTGAAATATGCATGAAAGAATGAATGCATTCTTATTTATGCATGCATGATATATCAGCCACCATATCGGTATCGGCCGATATTTGTTAATTTTTGATGTTATCGGCCTGATGAGAAAGTTTGGCTGATATATTAAAGACGATAAATAATGGATTATTTCCTTCAGATGCGCACTGTTCATCATGATGGGTTTGAATTGCTTGAAATATGACTGGAATCAAAATGTGCAGCACAAGTCTGTCATAATCGGCTTCATAACATTACAATGACAACTTAATAATTGTGTGTTTGGGACGTGGCTTTCAATGGTGAGACTTTTGTTTTTGTAATCAGGCTCTCAAAAAAATTATGTAAAAATTTGTATTTAGATTTATCGGCCGATATATCGGTTACCGGCTTTCTAACATAAGAATTATCGGTTATCGTATCGGCCAAAATGTTCATATCGGTTCATCCCTAAGCGCGTATATGCTCTTCCGTCGCATCTCTACGCTCCTCTTCGTGTCATCTTCAGCGTGTCCCGTCTCTGGCCTGTGGTGACGTCTTGTATACAGACTAAGCAATATTTCCACACGATTGCAATGCAGTTTGTGTGTAAGTCCGGAAGCGAGATTGACCAAAAGAAAACATAAACAACTAGACATCAGTCAGATTAATGGCTGGTTGACCGTTGCATCTGTAAGATGCTGTCTATGATGCTGTCTATGTCAACGCACTAGTAGGTGTTTGGAACGGCTCCTGTGTGAGTGTTTAGGCCAGTGTAGCAGAACAATCTACCGCAGTGCGCTTCAGCCCGACCTCACCTTCTTATCCTCTCTCTCTCACTCTCTCTCTCTCTCTTACCCCCTCTCTCTCAATTCAATTCAAATGAGCTTTATTGGCATGACTTGTACAAATAATAAAAAATAAATCAATCAGTAAAAAAAAGAAAAGATTAATTTAAAAATAAGAATGCATGAATACATTTGTAAAATTTAAGATACACACTTTATATGCTTGTACCAACATTCAGATAAGACGAGAACAATTCTGACTTTAGTTTTATCCACTGTTGCCTCACTCACTCACTCTCTCACTCTCTCACTCACTCACTCACTCTCTCACTCACTCACTCACTCACTCACTCACTCACACACACACTCACTCACTCTCTCACTCACTCACTCTCTCACACACACACACACACACACAGACACACACACACTCACTCACTCACTCACTCTCTCACACACACACTCACTCACTCATTCTCTCACTCATACTCACTCACTTTTATATACGTTTATTTTCATGTTTATAAATTATGAAATCATCGATTAGAACGATTAATCAACCCAAGTTTAAATGAGCATATAGTACTGAGGCAAGCCTATACAATTATATATGATCAGTCTTGTGTAATACATCCCACACAAAGGTCTGTCACCGGTACGACTCCCCTGTGCTTACATGCAGTCAGTGTTTAGATGGAGCTGAAGTGATCGTCCTGCTGTAGTGCCGTGGGGCTGGTGATGGTGATGGTAGCTGAGCTGGTGATGCTGGGATGAGTGTGTGTGAGCACTGGAATGAGTGTGTGAGAGCAGGTGATGCTAGGATGAGTGTGTGAGAGCAGGTGATGCTGGGATGAGTGTGTGAGCGACGGAGGAGAGCAGTTGGATGCTCTTCAAACGAGTGTCTAGTGTTCCATGACGTCAGAACACTGTTATATAAACTCCAGTGTGAGGCTGTAATGTGTGTGTCGTCTCTGCTGATGAGAGGACGGTGACTAGACTTTAATACTGTTAATACTGAGGAAAGTGTTGGAGAAAAAAAAAACTCTTTTATTGTCATTTTTACACTGTTCTCACAGTTATTACACAATGATGATGATAATAAAACTAAACTATAATAATAATTTATTATAATATTTCATTATTTTTTATTTTTTTTGTAGCCAATACCGATGTCTTAGATAGCAGTGTGGCCGATATAAAGCATATATATGTGTGTGTGTAATGAATAAATAACAAGCATTACATGCTCTTCTCACCACAGTTAAAAATGCTCCAATACTGGAGGTTTATTAAGACTTATTTATTTACGATATTCTTTATTATCTTTAGTCATGTTTGTTATACTCTAGCGCTTTTTGCATATTTTGCTAAATTTAAAATAATTATAACAAACTTGAAAAATAAATCCATAGATTAAACAGATTTATTCTTTAGCAACTTCTTGCTACTAGGGATGGGCAACGATTAATCGGATCCAAAATAAAAGTTTGTGTTTACATAATATATGTTTGTGTAGTGTGTATAATTAATTTGTATATATAAATACCCACACATGCATGTATATATTTAAGAAATATGTGCATGTATATATTTTATATATATTTATTCACAATTAATATTATATATAAATATAAATATTTGATATATTAATAACACATTTTTCTTAAATATATACATGCATGTGTGGGTATATATATATATATATATATATATACAAATTAGTATACACACTACACACACATATATTATGTAAACACAAACTTTTATTTTGGATGCGATTAATCGTTGCCCATCCCTACTTGCTACTTCTTAGCTATACTACCATTTATAGTATTTTTCATAAATAAAAGGTACTTCTGACAGACAAGATGAATTCGATCTGACCAATTATTATTTCATAAATGTATAAAAATAAATGTAGTCATACCTAGCTCTGAAATGTTTGGTCTTTGTTTAGTTATGAGTGTAAACTGGTCTCGCCTGGCTTTTCTTGTCCTCAGGTTCTTCATCAGCATGTTGCAGTGATTGTAGTGAAACATCTGATTGTGGCGATGGGGATTTTTGGGAACCTGGTCTACACGGGTCAGACCAACTATTACAACAAATCTTCCAAAGACTACTGTTACTCGGCCCGGATCCGCAGCACGGTTCTGCAGGGGCTTCCCTTCGGAGGGGTTCCCACGGTCCTCGCGCTCGACTTTATGTGCTTCCTGGTAAGTGACTGGCGTGGAAAAAGGTACACCTTGAGCTCTGCCTGTAGAATAAGACAAGAATATTTGAATATAGTTGCACAATATCTGACCTAAATGCACCAAGTTAGTGATTTAAAAGCTTAATGGTTCAAACATCATTTAATCTTAGTATATTATCCAGTAATGGTGTTTTTCGAGGTGATTCGCACAAACCTGTCCCAGTAGGGTTTGCGACAGACAACTTTCAACACTAGTCAACGCTTTCAGAAGACATTGAGTATTCACACACTCAACAACCATAACAACATGCTTGTATTTCCTATTGCAATCCAGCGAACCATGACCAAAACCAAAGAGTATGTGGCAGGGGGACAATGTCCTATTTTATTATAAACTGTTTTGAACTGGTTGAGTGAAGCTCTAAGTGATGTGAGGACGGATCCATTATTACCATTAAAGAGTTGTGAAATGTAATATGAAGAGGCTAATGTTGTACAAGAACCCTTGGCTAACTATTGAATTTATTAATATATATCTATTCACATATTGATTGATGTCAAAGTTAAGCTCCATTATTTTAATGTTTTTACTGTACGTGTAAGAGACACAGTTGGTGCATTCATTGGGCTGTCAATTACTAAACTTTTTTCTTTTGAAATGGGAACATAAACCAAAAGTAGTCGAGTAACTCGGATGTTGTTTTGATAAGTAACCGATTAGAAGAAATCCGCAGTAGTGCAACCCCGATTTATCATTTTGTACTCGTATTGAAAAATATATTTTGCCTTTACAAAATAAAGCCTTTTTCTAGGACCTAGCATTGTGACATTTCATGACAATTGAAATGGTGTTGTCATGGCACCATGGGGCAGTCGTGGCCTAATGGTTAGTGAGTCTGATTGGTAACCCAAAGCTTTCTTGTTCAGTTCCAGTACTTCCCACTTTTTTCACTTTAAAATCACAGTAGTCTGTATCAATACTAATTTCAGACTTTCCATGGATTGGAAAGTTCAATGGATTGACCCATTTTTCTGGTTGTCTGGTCAGAGTTATATTCATCACTTTAGATGGGGAAAATCAAGTGACCTTGCATTTTAAATGCACATGAGCAGTTGTTTTACCTAGCAACTCTGTCAGCTGGACTAACTCTCAGCGGCTGCCCTCTTAACCTACATTTGTGCTGATGACTTCAGCTGCGAGCTACACATCAATGTGAACCGCAAGCTGGAGTTCTGCTTCTCTTCGCAGGTCAATATAAACAAGATTGAAAGCTCTAAACTGCTTCAGACTGCTAAATCTATTAATTGCATTGTTCTTTTTTTCAGTATGGAAACTGGCGTTTTTAGTTTTTATATTACAGTATTGAAAATTTCATGTCACAATATTGATTGTTTGACTTATGTCTTACTCATAGTTTGGCTTCTCTCTCCATCTCAGGTTCTTCTTTTTGTCTTCTCCATTTTGCGGAAAGTGGCGTGGGATTACGGCCGCCTGGCTCTGGTGACGGACGCTGACAGGTAAGGACATGTTTGATTGATGTGTGTTATATTGATGCCAAATTGAATGATTTCTCAGATGCATCTCGTGTTAATTCTCCTGTATATTCTCTGTGTGTGGTGTAAAAGAACATGTATGCTTGTGCATTTCCTTGAAAAGTGCAAGAAAAAGATTACAAGGGTTTTATCCTTGCATCATCTGAATCCCATGGACACTGCATGGAAAATTATAGGGATTTAGCAGCTACGGATGAATGGGTTTTGTCCATTTCAGAATCCCTGTTTCAAGATATCAACTGAAAAGACCAGCAATGGTCATGATTTCATTCAATCAATAAAATCCTCTCTCAGAGTATCTTCAGAAGTGGCCAATTGTGGATGAGAACCTGGTGTTTAAGTAGAATTACTGTGAAGAGCAGATTCAACATCACTTTCTGTTAACCACGGGTCTTAGGAGAACATTTGAGTCAACGGAGAAGGTTTCTGATTAAAAAAAAAATGTCTTGGTGTCTCACGGGATGGAGTTTAGTACTACTTTGGGATATGGATCCAAGCCCACTGCTCTTTCCATTATAGCCAAATTAATGACATAGTGTTACAAAAGGCAATCTCCAATTACAGCCAACTTTAGCCTTCATCAGAGTCTAAATAGTTGGCAAAAGTAGAAAAAAATGACAAAAGAACAATTGTCATTGACTTCTTGATCAAGGTTGAAGATTCATCAGGATTTCAGTTAAAGCGCCGCTCCATTGACGGAATTGGATGAAAATTGGTGCGTGTCCTCAAATTGGCCTGATGTTCATGTATACCAAGCTTCATTAAGTTTGATCATTGCGTTTGGAAGTTACGTTCATTAGTAGAAATATGCTTTGCCTAAATGTTCACTTGGCTTGTGAATGAATTAATGAATAAAAATCCCATTAATTAAGTTCTTTTTGGAGCGTCTCTTGATAATGCTGCTACCCTTATTATTCAGATTCTGCCTCTCACAGACGGTCTTCCTCCATCTGTGAATATACTGGTGCACCTAAAAACTTCACACAAAAAAACATTTCTTTGGCAGAGGTAGGAAGTGAATTAAAGGCTGCTCACACCCACACACACACACACACCATCTGCTTTCATTGTGTCGGAGCAGATTTGCTGTATTTCTGGTGCTGTCAGTGCACATCACTGCTGTGTGTTTCTATTTTCACACTGCTCTTCCTTCTTTCCACTTTTCTTTCGCTGCTGCAGAATGGAGCCAGAAATATTCCCTTGTGTCATTTTCCATTGAATCGATCATGTATTATTTGCTTCCTATTATAGTTACTGGAAATTGACTCAGCCACTGGCAGTCTTTTTTTAACTTGGTTACATAATTACCACATACTTATTTATTTTAAAGACTGAGCTTGTAAAACCTGCAGTTTAATCTGGTAACCACAAAGTGCCATTAAATACATTAATATTCTAAAGGGTTTGAAGGCTTTTGTAATGATTGTTTTCTTGTTCAAAGTCAATCTAATTGATTGTGCTCCCATGATGCCTCACTTCTTCCTGTAATATAGTGGACAGAGGAAATAGCATTGATGAGCTTCCTTTTAGAGTCTCGACATTTTGAATGTCTGACTCCTCTCTCACAACGTACACTTGTCCATTCAATCTCTAATTTTTTGCACATTGATGGTGTTTCTAGATTGAAGTGTTTGTGGACCTGCTGACTGCACAGCGTCCGTCTGTAATCACAGCGACACACTCCAGAGTAAAGACCCGTCAGATTGCTGATGCTGTGTTTCTCACGTGGACAGTACATTAAACACAAGGCTCCAGTTTACGCTCTACGGTTCATAGTGAACAGATTTACAGAGCTGAAGTGAACGCAGAGCTGTGATGTAGCCAGTTGTGGGCATTTAATGATTATCCTAATATCAAAGAAACATTGAGCATGTGCAAACTGGATCATAACAACATTTTTGGCATTGGTACTTTCTTGTATTTATAGATATAAGAATGTATTTTGATTACACATTAGTCATCTTTAAAGGGGTCATGAACTGGCTTTTTAAATTTTATTATTTTGTTTTCTGAGGTCAACTTATGACGTTCCCTTGGTTTTTACATTCAAAAACATCAAAATGAATAAGATATAGGCTATTTTCTACCCTAACATCTCAAAAACGCTGGGTTTTTATGGGCGTCTCGCACTGAAGACTTGGAAGTAAACGCCCTCTGCTGTGAGTGGATAACAGTTTTGCATATTATAATGCGTTTCAACTCACTCGTCGGTGCACTTGGGGGAAATTGTTCTCAAAACGTCCAATGGCAACCGGAATGGTTCGCCCATACATGTTCTTAACAGAGTCCGTGTGTTATAAAATTCCTGTCAGATCCAATATAGACGGCACAGCACCGTTCTTTACTCTTAATCGCTCTGCAAATCCAGGCTTTTTTACAAAACAATCCTCAGTGAAATGAAGCGAACAGACGGACGATGTTTTACCCTCATAAATTAAAGTTTATCCATGCAGTAGAGCCCGACCGATAAAAGATTTTGAAGGCCGATACAAATATTTTTGGGTTTTAAAATCCGATATATCGGCCGATATTTTCTTTTTCTTAAATATTGTTGGATTTCACACACGTGTAAAAGAAAAACTAACTTTTCTGCACAAGGTACGTTTGATACTTTTTCTCTATGTCTAAATGTTCACTCCTCGCAAGTATAACTTACATTTTACAATGCAGGGACTGTAACTAGAGATATGCTAGTTATAAATACAGTAATCATTACTTTATTTAGGCAGAAAAAGTTAATTGTGGTTTCCAAGCTCATTAATGTTAACGTTAGCGGTCTTCCACTGATGATAGTGGCATTAGCTAGCTTTGTGGTTAGCTAGTCTATGATGAGCCATACTTTAGCAATAGATAACATCATACTGCAAATTGTAAAACATACATTTTCAATATAACAGGCCAAGGAGAGATGATTGAAGTGTGTTCGCGAATTGGTGGGCGGGGCTAAACCGGCCATATTGAAGTAGGCGTTGATCTTCTTTATCCTCTTTGACGTCATAGTTCGCCACTTTGAAAAACGAGTCGTTTGCTGAGGCTGGTGTTAATAAAAGCTTTTATTGGACTAACAGGGGCGTTTTCAGTTCTTAAACTTACTGATAATATGATGACCTCTTAGATGTCAAATTTGATTTCTCAGTTCATCATCCCTTTAAAATGTATTGAGAGATGCTGATATGTTCACCTCAGATATAATCACCTAACAACGCTCTGTTTCCACAGTTAAAGATCTGACGGCTGCAGTCTTCAGAGATTGTGTGATTTTTGAAAGAGTTGAAGCTTATTTTTTTTCCTTCCCCTTTTCTTTCCTTCCCAAGACAGAAGAGAAGATTCGACGGTCTGGAGGAGCGGGAGTAGTATGTTCAGTTATTGTTCCTATGCTTTATTCTGCTCACTGGTGAACTAACTGCTCACTACTTCTGATAAACTGGTGTGTGTGTGTCATGGTTTGTTAATATGGAGGTTCCTCACCTTTGACCTTCTCTAATACACCACGGGTGACATGTTGCTTTAGAGGTGTGTGCGGTTGCTGTCCTGAGTGTTTTCTCTGATTGCACACCACATACTAATTTTCCTCTGGTGTGTTTGTGTGTGGTGTTTGACTCACTCATGTGAATTTGCTTTCCAAAGGCCTCTAACACATGAGTGTCAATAACCGCCTGTCCTTCGTGTCTCTCTTTGTGACGTCTGTTATGTGACTACAGTACGAGAAAGGAACGGAATAACTATGAGCCCGTACGCAGGTAATAGAGCTCTAGCGTTGTGACCCCAAAGAGTGGATCCAAACAAGACCCCTCAGTATTGTGAGTCTTCCCGCCCTTGTGAATGTGGCCAGTCAAGTGTATCTTCTCATGTAGAGCTTTTCTTCAAAAGTGGTGATCGTAGTTGGATATGACCTCCTCAAACCTCTTGCACACGAGCACAGAGCGAATCTCGTAGTGTTTTATCACACTCATGATACTCCAAACTAGGGATGAGTCTTTAAAAGTAAATTTACTTCACTTCTTTATCAGTTCATTTATCACAATTGGTGACTACTTGTCATCCAACAACTGTAAGGTTGTAGCTTTAAATGATTTTATTTTATTATTTTGTTTCCATTTTATTTTACTTTTACTTTGTTTTATTTATTACAATGGACGACCACTTGTCATCCAACAACTGATTGGTTTTTTTATTTTAAGTTGCTGCTTTTAAATGATTAAATTTTTTTTATTTTATTTTTTTATTATTTTTAATTTTATTTTATTTCCCTAACAGAACAAAAAATGCCATATAACACAGAAAAGCTAAAAGCCTTTTTTTTGGTGTGTGTGTGTATGTGTATGTATATATATATATATATATATATATACACACACACATACAAATATATAATATTTAAAATTTTATTTTTATATCTTGATATTTTTATATTTTTTTGATATAAATTTTGATATTTTATATATTGATATTTTTTATATCAATATATTTTATTTTTGATATCTAAATTATATTATTTTAATTTATATATCAAATATATAATAATAATTATAATATTATATATTTGGTATATAAATTTTATTTTTTTGGAAATTGATTGAGCATCTGATTTTGTGCAGCACAGAAGGAAAATAGTCATATGGGTTTGGAATAACATAAGAGCGAACACAAATTTTAAATTTGAACAAATACATATTTTGAGGTGAACTATTCCTTTGTGTAGAATATGAGTCACACTCTGCGAAGCGTTTATAGTCCATTTATGGCATCGGCAGTTTCATTTCTTTGCCACACAAACACTGCTGTCTTATTAACTCACAGGTCATCATGATAAAAGAAAACAAGTGTAGAAAAATAGATCTTGGATTCAGTTCAGTGTATTACGAAAACGCAGTTTCTCAATGCTAAGGTCCCCGAACGCTCAATTAATTTAAAATGTTAATTCTGGTTGGGTTACCTTTTTAAACGTCTGATTTGAGACGCTCTTGTTTCCGAAAGCTCCCTGCGTCCCTCATGTTCTTCTGTGGTTAGTCTGATGAGTCTGTCAGTCATCAAGAGGAACCACGTTAATAAAGTCATGGGACAATATCCTTTTTTTACGACCTGTGCCATTGCTCGGACAAAGAAAAAGAGGATCCGGCTCTGTAAACCTGCTGGTTTAACAAAACCATCAGAGAACATGTGTTCATCAAGGACAGTTAGCATATTAAAGCTGTGATTATAAAGTTTACATTTGTGACGATATATACTATCATACAGTTGAGATTCGCTAGCGTATATCGTTTTTATACAGTGTGTATATAGAGCTGTGTGATAATGCAGTTTTTGTCATTGTTCAGTTCTCGGGTTAATGGAAATGAGGTTCGCAAATCCTTCGCTTCAGATCCGGCTCTGCGTTTAAGATGTTTTTTAGCTGCCAAACACTCAAAACTGAGTTTATGAGGCTGGAAAGACCACGACCATCTTCCTGTCAGGATTGTTTAGATCTGGATTTGTTCTGTGGTGTGTTTTGGGAGTAGATTAGTGTTCATCTGAACTGTGGATTACTATCTTTCAGCAAACGGAGGGAAATGATGCATTCTCAGTTCTTCAAGCACATAAATACTTAATATCCCATCAACCCTGAGATGAGACTGACCTATATTTGCCAGTGTGGACCTGAATGTTCAGACGTTCTGACTGTCCGGCTTCGCTCGCTTCATTTCAGACCTTCAAAATAACCCCAAACATCCAGTTTAACCCTTCAGAAGACCTGATTTCTGACATGTTTCTCACTTTATTCTTTCTCTTTTTCCTTCTGCTTTCTGTCTTTCTCTCTGTGTGTGTGTGTGTGTGTGTGTGTGTAGTGTGGCTTCAGCTCTACATTCTGAAACGCCGGACCGTTATGAACGTCTCACCTCCGTCTCCAGCTCGGTGGATTTCGAACAGCGAGATAACGTAAGACACCTGTCAATCACTCCCTCTGGCCCCGCCCCCTTATCTGTATTCACCGCTGATTGACTGTCGCGGGTCACAGTCGGTGACTGTTGAATAATTCAGGGTTGGCAGTTGTGTGTTTGTGTGTGTATTTGTCTTCAAGCCTAATGTGGAAGTGTTTTTTCGTCTAAATTTTCGTCTTTTTTTGTAATAAATGAATACGTTTTATTCAGCAAGGACACATTCAATTGTTCAAAAGTGACAGGGAAGGCATTTATAAAGTTACATATTTAAATTTCATATAAATGCTGTTTATTTTCTTCAAAGAATCCTGAAAATAAAAATGTATCACGGTTTTCAACACTGATAATAATCATAAATGTTTCTTGATCATCAGATCCTCATATTAGAGTGATTTCTGGTGGATCATGTGACACTAAAGACTGGAGTAATGATGATAAATTCAGCTTTGATCACTGAAATAAATTACACTTTATTATATATACACATAGAAAACAGATATTTTAAATTGAAATAATATTTCCCAATTTAACAGTTTTTATTGTATTTTTGATCAAATAAATGCAGCCTTGGTGAGCAGAAAGGACTTTTCAAAACATTTAAACATTCTCAGAATGCTTTTTTGTCTAGATTTGCACAGTTTGAAAGCCAGGTTGCACTTCATCAAGTTAAAGGGACACTGCAATAAAACAAATTAAAAAAAAAACATAAAGGCAATTTGACTTTGGATCCAACTGGATGTCTTTACTTCACTCTTAGGAGAAAAGGTTCTAAATTTAGAACCCTTTTTTCTAAGAGTGTACCGTTTCCCAAAGCGTCTCCCAGCCCCTCTCGCTCCCCGTGGACATCATTGATTTTTCCCAACACTGACCTCACGTCAACCTAATATACGCTCAGAAAGAAACAAGCGGCCTTCACAAAGGGCAAAAACTTCCTCCCTCCTTCATTTCCGTTCATGATGAACCAGCATTTCTGCACTCGTTCGGGACGCCGTCCTTGAAAGTCCCCAGAAGCCTTCAGGAGAGAAACTGACTCGAGTAAATCTCGAATAGAAACCCCCTCAAAGTGAAAAACTGAGAAACGCTTGGCCTTAAAGGCCCTATGAACTCTGGGATGTGGATGGAAAGTCGTGACCCTGGATCACAATGTCACGAGTCGGACGGACGGGTACAATACCCAATACATTATATGGGTCAAAAACTCAAAATTATACATTTTTCTTTTCCAAAAATTATTAGGATATTAAGTAAAGATTAGGGTTGGGTATCGAGAATCGAGTATCGATTGGAACCGGGACTAACTTTTCGTTTTTCCCGGAATCGTTCAAAAGTTAAAATTTCAATTCCTAGTTTTGATATTCACAGTCCGCCGAGCGGAAGAAGAAACCGCTGAACAACAATAACAAAGAAGCGTCTACCGGAAGTGTTGGCATAACCGCGCGAGTCGAACATGAGTAGCTTACGTCGGCGGTCCAAAGTGTGGCTTCACTTTTCTAAAAATTAACGAAATCTCGGCAAAATGCAAAATTTGTGACAAAAGGGGTATTTGTGACAGAAGGAGTATTTCCTTCAGAAAGGAGTATTTCCTTCAGAAAGACCGTTGGTTAGCAAGGTTAGCTAAACTTTTTTGACCCTGCCTCTTAAAAGAATCGAAATCGAGAATCGTTAGGAACTGGAATCGAAACAAGGAATCGGAATCGGAATCAGAATCGTTCAAATTCAAACGATACCCAACCCTAGTAAAGATTATGTTCCAGGATGATATTTTGTAAATTTCCATTCGTCAATGCAGTATAAATGGCAACACAAATGGACTTTAAAGGCGATTTTCTCAATGTTTCGATTGTCATCCTCAGATTCCTCGACCAAATATTGTCATATCCTAACAAACCATACATAAATGGAAAGCTTATTTATTCAGCTTTCATATGCTGCATACATCTCAATGTAAATAAATTGACCCATGTGACTTGTTTTGTGGTCCAGGGTCATGTATAACAATGGCTGATGGTAAAAATCATATCATTTAGCGTCCTGGCTTATACATCAGTGCATCCCTACTTAGTGGTCCTCCATTGTTAATCCGTGACGGTGACGCGTTTTCATCAGGTGACATCATCACCACCCACCGAAGTCAGCCGGCGGGACGCCACTTTAAGCCTGTTTTCCAGCCTCTTAAGAGATCAGTGCAGGACTTCAGCATCTCCTGTGTGTCTTCACCTGCATTCACCGATAATCCTGCAGAGAAATCACCCTCACACACTCACACACACACCGACTGACCCGCCGAGGCTTTTACAGGCCTGGCCGCATGTGTTGAAGCTCTTGCATTGATGTATGCAGTAATAGTCTGTTTATGATTGTGTATACTGCATTATGCGTGTGTGAGAGAGAGACTGAGCAGTGTGTGTGTGGGAGAGAGAGAGTACATCGTTTGGACAATCATTCATAGTTTGATGTGCTTTTATTGCAGGGCTTCTGTTCCTGGTTGACTGCCATATTCAGAATAAAGTAAGTGGCTCTTTGGCTGGTGAGGGTGTTAATATCAGTATAGCAGAATACGCAGCGCTAGACATGTCGCACACTATATAACGGGGATTTAGCAAACGTTTTTGACAGCCGAACCACTTTCACCTAAAATAATATTACCTTGAAATCTCAGGGAATATTTCAATATTTTCACATGTAGACAGTTATGTGATGACGGTTAATGTTCACATGAATGCAGGATAACAAGAAAAATGTTAAATTTTTTTGTTAGGCGTTTCTTTTGAATTTTTTTTTTTTTAAATGTACCAAATGCTTTTCTTCATTATTACAAAAATTGTTTGCATTTTTTTATTGAATTTTTTTTTAATGCATGCAATGCATAAATGTTGATACTTTTTAGTTTATTCATGATTTAAAACTATTTATTTGAATTGTAAATTTTTTATGATTTCATTTTTAGTAAGTGTTCGTTATTTAAGTTTACATTTTTATGATTTTATTTTCAGCATTATTTTAAATGTATATATTAAAAAAAATAAAGTGAATATTTATAATCTATATTAAAAAAAGAAATATATATATATAATTTTTTAACTACATTTTAATCATGTTTTTGTTTATTTATTTTAATGGTACACTTTTATTATTTTATAAATTTTTGTTTTTGTTTTGATTTGCTTTCATTTTGAAACACTTTATTTTACCATGTCCCTATTACATGTAGCTACTGTAGTAATAACTATAAATTTTTTTAATATTATTATTAAATATTACAATATTAAATACTATTATTAATGTTTTATAATATTATTTTAATATTTAATATTTCTTAATTAAATGCACCCTAACCCTATAGTACGTACATTTCGTTAATTATTATGTATACGTGGTACTTAAATATAAAATGACACTAAAACACTGACACCTTAAAATAAAGTGTAACCATTTATTTATTTATTGTGAATATCCTGCAGTTTCCTCAGTTTGGGAAACCCTGCACCACAATATATATTCTATAAGCCATGCTATTTATCCCTTACGCTATAGTTACGCTCTACTTCAAACTCAATATCTCCATCTTGTACAATCTTTATATTCTGCAGTCCATTCTCTGTAATGGAGCACTCTCCGTACACCGTAGGTGTCCTCTATACATCACACAGTATGACGGTCGGCTAACGCGAGTGTGTCTCCACAGGGACGAGGAGATCCGGGAGAAGTGTGGAGAAGACGCCGTCCACTATCTGTCGTTCCAGCGGCACATCATCGGCCTGCTGGTGGTGGTGGGCGTTCTGTCGGTGGGCATCGTTCTGCCCGTCAACTTCTCAGGCAACCTGCTGGGTGAGTCCCCTGTGAACTGCAGGGGTCGGGGCCGGTCCGTCATCATTTCACTTTTATAACCGTGGTTGGTGTGTAGTGTCGCTGTTTGAGCATAAACATCTGCAAAGTTACAACGCTCAAATCTCAAAGCAAAGGGAGATATTCGCTTTAACCCTTTATATGATGCATCTTTCATTCTTCAGATCAACTCATAGGGTTTGAATTCATGGGAGATTATATAGATTATTATATAGATAATCCCATATAGGTCATTCATGGGAGAAAACATCAGTTTGAAAGAGGAGAGCGATATCTTTGTCACAGCATTCTTTCAAGGTTGAAGTTACCGGAGTTATTGCTTGTGATGCACCACCATTTTTTTTTATTAGTTTATTTTTGTTTATCCGGTTACCATTTTTTTTTAGAATTTGAAAAATATTAAAGATATTGTTTGATAAATGAGGGGAAAAAAGTATTGCTTAAAGCCCTGGAATTTAATTTTCCAGTGTCTGTCCGATTATTGGCCAAAAAACGAGAGCGAGATCTACGACCTCCGTTCTCCTCCAGTTATATTTGTTAGCTCAGGACTCTCCATTATTAGCCGGACGCTGTGCTAACATTAGCGCTGGTCGTGTCCCGTGTCTCTGACCTCTGATAGATTATTATCTGAGAGGGTTAATCCACAGCGCTCCGCTTGAGTAATGAGATTGAACTTCTCTCTGCCCGCCGGGTAATTGGTCGCCTGTTTCAGAGACGGAGAGAGCAGCGAAAGGAAACGAGTCAGATCGATGATGGGCGCTTTGCACGAGTCCTTCAGGACGTGAACATTGTGAACCGAGGACCGTCAGAAACGCCTCGCTGCTTAGACGTCTGAGTGACATCGAAAGCGACCAATCACAGTTTAGGTTAAAACAAGGGCTCTGTTTAAAGCCGGTTCACTTTCTCGGCTTGAGTTTTAAATTGCTTCAACACGTGTGTGTGTGTTCAGGCCTGAGATAGAAGGAAGGATTGAAGTGTGAGCATAACCATAACCACCAGTTTAACACACTACTAACTAACTCAACCAGGCCCCGCCCCTTTATTCTGCATATTAATTATTATAATGAGGAATATTGTGACGTGTTCCTGGAAAAAACTCAAGACTACAATGGAGGCGTTTCAGGAGTTCAGGAATAAATAGAAGAACTCCCGCTGTAGGGACCTAATGCTTTATATATATATTTTACTTTATATACTTAATATACTTTTTTTTTTTCATAATTTATTATTTCATATTTTATTGACTTTTTTATGGCGTTTATCTATTTTATTTTTTATTTTACTAATTTATTATCTGCTTGTTTTTATTACCTTTTTTATGAATTTATCTATTTTATTTTTTATTTTACTAACTTATTATCTGCTTGTTTCATTGACTTTTTTTGCATTTAGCGTTTTATTTTTTATTTTACTAATTTATTATCTGCTTGTTTTGACTTATGCATTTATCATTTCATTTTTTATTTTACTAATTTATTATCTGCTTGTTTTTATTAACTTTATGCATTTTTCATTTTATTTTTTATTTTACTAATTTATTATCTGCTTGTTTTGACTTATGCATTTATCATTTTATTTTTTTATTTTACTAATTTATTATCTGCTTGTTTTTATTAACTTTATGCATTCATCATTTTATTTTTTATTCTACTAATTTATTATCTGCTTATTTTTATTAACTTTTTTATGCATTTACCATTTTATTTTTTATTTTACACATTTATTATCTGCTTCTTTTTATTAACTTTTTTTATGCATTTATCATTTTATTTTTTTTATTTTACTAATTTATTATCTGCTTGTTTTTATATAAAAAAAAATATGCATTTATCATTTTACTTGAAAGAGGCAGTAATGTGACCGCGTTCAGCACATTTCGACAGTGTTCCTAAATATGACCCTTTTTGTTACCTTTCAAAAGCACAAATTAACTTATTGTTGTTGTTTTTTCTCAGACAACAACGCATACAGCTTTGGACGTACAACAATCGCCAACTTGGATTCCAAGTGAGACATTTTATTCATTGCACACATTGAAAACCTCCCTGTATGCTTAAATTGAAGAATTCTGGGTAACGTGGGCTTGTGTTTCTCTCTGTGTGCTTCAGGAATAACCTCTTATGGCTGCACACATCTTTTGCCTTCATATATCTGCTCCTCACCGTCTACAGCATGAGGCGCCACACGTCCAAGATGCACTACAAAGAAGACGATCTGGTACGTGAACCCTTCAGTGCTGTTGTTAAATAACAGAAGAAGAAGCGTAGTGTGAAAACCAGCCGTCTCGAGGCGTGTGACGTCTGCAGCTGTAATGCTTATGAAATATTCATAAAGTCAGTCTATAGAGCTGACCTACATTTCTGAGCTTAACCTCAGTGTGCATTGCAACGTCCTCCAGCATCAGTGCACGTGTAAATATCCCAAATAACATCTGTTTTTTTCTCTTTCTCAGGTGAAACGCACTTTATTCATCAACGGCATTTCTAAATATGCAGAAGAAAGCCATATAAAGCAGCACTTTGAGTAAGACGTCTTCTTTATGCTTCATCTACGCTTCGCATTTACATCTTAAATGGGTCACTGGAAGAGCTCAAAAATCATGTCTCATGTAAAATATTAAAATCACATGTGTGCAGTTTGTACGTTAGTGGGCGTCAGGGATGTGAAGGCTCTCCTCGTACGCCGCGAGACTGCAAGCATCTGCCGTAATTGTCTAAATGAGTGTTTTAAATTCGAGTCATGTGGCCGATCAGCCGAGGCTGTTCCTGCCAGAAACGAGTGTGATGAGGCGCTGGGGACGAACTATGAATAGACTCGAGTGTCTGATGTCGTTTTACCTGAGAGCTGCTGTTTCCCCCGTCTGTCATTACTGGAACTGGTTACTGAAACATAGAAATGATATTAAGATATTTAGTTATGAGTGAAATATGCCATTTCAGATGTTAAAAGACTGACTTGTATCCCAGTTTAAAGGATGCAGATGGGTCTGTAATATTTGTATTTTTACAATTTAAAGTAGCTGTTTTTCAGCTATTTTCAGCATCATTACTGGATCACATGATCCTTCAGAAATCACTCTAATATGAGGATTTCTGATAATTATCAATGTTGAAAACCGTTGTGCTGTTTCATATTATTGTGGAAAATACTGAATGACGCATTCGGGATTTCAGAAACGGACAGCATTTATTTGAAATTGAAAGCATTTGGATCATTATAAATGTCTTTACTGTCACTTTTAAGCAATTTAATGCGTCCTTAATTAAAAAAATAAAAACATCTGACTGTCCCCAAACTTTTCAGTGATAAGAAATTAAAATAGAGGCAAGGCAAGGCAAGGCAAGTTTATTTATATAGCACATTTTATACACAGTGGCAATTCAAAGTGCTTTACATGGAAGAAATTAAAATAATCAAAAGAAGTCAGAATAATTAAAACAGATTAGAATAAAAAAATCATAATAATGAAAATAAAATACAGAATATAGAATAAAATTGTATAGAATAAAATTGTATGTTTTGTTTTTTGTTTTTAGTGAAAACTAAGAAATAACTATATATTATTTGGAAATGCAAAGATATTTTGCATTTCCAAATGTTTTTGAAATTCATACGTTCATGACCTAATCAATGGTGTAGAGTTGTTATAGCTGATCGTCTGATGTCATTATCATTATGATGTTGATTTCTTCATTTGTGTCTCAGACAGGCGTACGAGAACTGTGTCGTACTGGAAGCGCGCGTTTGTTACAACGTGGCCAAACTGATGTCTCTCAACGCGGAGAGGTACAAATCCATGTCAGATTTGGCTTTGGTTATTAGTCACAAAAGCACTTGAAGAGTTCAGATGCAAAAGCCTCTAAATGCCATTTGAAATGTTGTTCTAGAATGACCATTTTTATCAAGCTTGTGTATTTAAGTTCAGTAATTTCACTTAAATGACAATTAATAGGTAATCTTCATTGCCATTTAAGTGAAATTACTGAACTTAAATATACAAGCTTGATAAAAAGGATAATTTTAGAAGAAAATTTCAAATGGCACTTAGAAGCTTTTGCATCTGAACTCTTCACTTTCTCTTTACCTTCAGGAATGATACGACCTCTGAGACTCTCTATTGATCTGTTAAACGGGCTGAAGTTTGATCTCTGAGGGGACGAGCATTGATCCGCTGAGCTAAACTTGTGTGTGTGTGTGTGTGTGTCCTGCAGGAAGAAGACCGAACGCAGTAAGAAGTTTTTCACGGATCTGATGGCTAAGGAACACGTGCCCACGATGATCAACCCGAAGCCCTGCGGTCACTTGTGCTGCTGTGCCATTACAGGCTGTGAGGAGGTATGCACACATTACCCACAATGCCTCTGTCTTGTCAATTTATAGTACAAAGTGCCGTTGTCAGAGGAAATACTCAACACTGGCCAATAAAAGCATTTTTATGTCTTTTCAAGCCCATTCCTGATGAATACATTTGCTACCCATAATTATTACTTATTTTTGTAATTATTAGGAGCCGAGCTCTAAAAGTGCATAATCAACCATTTTATTAGTTAGTGTTCTTCTTCTGCTTTTGAATTATGGGAAAAAGTTGTGAAATTTGGCGCAGTGAATTTTGAGTCTCTTTCTCGATCCCTCTAGCGCCACCAACTGGCCAAATTTTCATTCACGTTTATGCTAATAACTTTTGAACCATAAGGGCTACACACAAAATTATGATTCCTTGACCCAAGACTATTAAACTTTTCCCCCCAAAAAAACCTACTTCGAAATCATCCATGATTGTTTGTTAAATTTTCACCAACATTGGCTCACTTCATCTTCTGGCAAAAAGTAGAGCAATTAAAAGCTTGAATTGCACGCAAACGAATTTGGTTAAAACAGTGCATTGAGACGAGTCTTGGTACATATCATCATAGGTATACATAATAAAGCTTTTTATTTATGTCTATCTATGCATATCATCACAGCGCCATCATATCATCTTCAGCACAGCGCCACCTACTGGTCAGGAGATATGAAAAATGGCCTATTTTGCTTAGAACTTCTGAATATTTTGTGGATTAAAATCCTAAAACTGGTCTTTTTTAAATTCAGTGCTGCATATAGAGTTAATAATACCCAGTTTTCCCATATCGGCCATTTTGGGCGTCAGCCATTTTGAATTTTGTCGTAAAAATGCTGTATAGACTAAACCGTTTTCGAATAATGCATCATTGAAATTAATATCTACTTTGGTATAATATAAATTAGGCGTCATTTCGTTTAAAAAAAAAAGACAAAATATAAAATAAAATAAAAATGTTACAATTTAGATTTTTTTTTAAGAAAGTTAAATGTAACAAAATAGTAATCAGAATTAGAATCCCATCAGACCATTTAGAATCAAGTGTTCCATAAAGTCTATGCATTTGAATGTATTCTGTTCATTTAAAAGTGATTTATATTCTAAATATATTTTTAATAGTGTTTTAATTAGGTGACGCTTCTAGTCCTGGTTCTCTTGGTTTGATTAACTCGCATTAGGCTCGTGGTGTCCTTGAATAAAGTGATTGTGTTGCGTCTGAGAACGGTTCAGAGGAAATGAAAGCTCTCCTGTGAGGTCGGGGTTTAGGAGGGTCGTGTCCGGTGGCGTGTGGCGGTTTGCGCTGGTTTGGTGATGCAGTCGTGCCGTAAATCTGTGGTTTTGCAGGAGGAGGCTGTGAGTTATTACACTAAACTGGAGGCCAAACTCAAAGAGGAATACAGGAAGGAGAAAGAGAAGGTCAACACCAAACCCCTGGGCATGGCGTTCGTCACCTTCCAGAACGAGACCATGACGGCAATGTGAGTGTGAGCTGTTGATAACAATAACACTAGTCACGTCAGCTGATGTTGCAATATGAATAAAAGAGTAAAATATATATAAAAAATACTAACTATATTAAATTGGAAACTATTTTACAATTCAAATGTAAATTAATTTGGAAAATAAAATATTTTGCACCAATATTGTTATTGGTTGTGCCAAAAGAGCTCCCATGAAGCACTGCGAATGATGTAATCAATCTCCTTAAAAATACTGTATATATGCACATATTATGCAATAAACTTAAAATATATTGTTTTTTACTATATATCAACAAATGTAAATGAGTAGTTTTATATTTCTCTATTGTTTTTAATGCATGGCATTGTATTTTTTCCTCGCTAAAGATGTTAATTCACTCTTCACATCGAAGTGTGTAGCGTTGTGATCCTTCTTGTAGCTAATTGGCTTAGCTCATGGCTTATAACTCTTATAACTCATTTCAAAGGGATTTATTTATTATTTTTTCTAGATTTTTTTAATTCAATAATTTTATTTTAATTAATGAAAAACCTACCATCTCAAAATGCTCTCTAGGTGGTTTTGGATCTGTTGTCTCCTTGTTTGTGGATGTAGTGTGTGATTTCCTCTTGGTGTGTGTGTGTGTGTGTTTCTGCAGAATCCTGAAGGACTTTAACGCGTGTCAGTGTCAGGGTTGTAAGTGCCGTCAGGAGCTCCGTTCCTCTCAGTTCAGTGACAATCTTCATGTCTATAACTGGAGCGTCAGTTACGCTCCCGACCCACAAAACGTGCGCTGGTGAGGAACACACTCTCGATAACACACTGACTCTCTTTGTCTGTCTCCTTTATTTGTTGGATGGAAAATAACCTGTTAGATTAATGAAAATGTGGTGTCTCGTGTCCCACAATGCAATGCTTTGACTTGGCCTACCAATTCTTGAGCATTTATTTAAATAATTAAGATGTTTTTACACAAAACTGAATTGCACAAATGCAAAATAACTCTACTTTTATGTTTCATAATGCATAATGGAGGCCCTATGATGCAGAGGGAATCACAGAATCCAGTCATAAAAATAGAATTGAATGAAAAATACAAAAATTCACAGAACGTATGAATAAATCAAAAGTACATGTAATCAAATCATGATGTATACACAAACCTTTACTACAACCCGTCAAATTAAAAGTTTTGTTTAGCTTGAGGAAATTGTGACAGATATATATTACTGTTGTACAGTAGAATGTATTTCGATATTAATAATACACTTATTAAAACTTTTAAGGAATATCACAATTTTTCTTCAAGTGCAGGACTTTGGTTCTTACTAATTTTCAACAGATTAGAACATATTAAAAATGTATTAATGTTTTATGCCATCTGTTTTTGATAATACATTTTTAGTAAATCATAAATCCAGTAAAACTAATTTTTTATGTATTAAATTAATTTGAATTTTCTTGTTAAAATTGAAGTAAACTTAAATAAAAGTAAAAGTTTGATTTATCACATTTATATATCACATTTTTTTTTATTTTACTAATTTTTTTACTTTACTAATTTCCAACAGATTAGAATTGATTGCTTAAATTGCTAATGTTTTATGCCATCCTTGTGATTACCACCGTTTATATTACATTTTTAGTAAATCATAAATTTAGAAAAAAATTAAAGACAGCACAGAATTCCTTAAGTCCCTATTACTGTAAATCTTCATGAATTAAATTGATTAGACATATTTTTTTTTTGTGTTAAAATTCAAGTAAACCATTATAACATAATCCAGAAAAATGTACAGAATTAAGAATGGAATTGTTCAGGCCCTAATTCTGTTTGACACTCATTTAAGAGTACAGTAGGCCTTTTATACAGGAGTCGTACAGTAAGCAATGCGCTGATACTCTCTCTATCCGTCAGCCGTTTCTTTGCTGACTTCATTATGTTCAGGAATTACCCATGAGCAGTCGATACCTTATCAAGCTAAGAGATTTTACTCTTTCTGCTGAGTCCGTGTGTGTATTATTTTGCTGTTGAATTAAACTCTGTTTGGCTCACAGGGAGCATCTGTCTTTGGGAGGAGTCTCCTGGTGGCTTCGCTGCTTCATCATCAACTGCATCCTCTTCCTCCTCCTCTTCTTCCTCACCACCCCAGCCATCATCATCTCCACCATGGACAAGTTCAACGTCACCAAGCCTGTGGAGTATCTGAACGTAAGGCTGAATTTTCCAGTCAAAATATCAGACATCATTTAAAACATGCGCGCACACACACACACACACACTACTTAAAACAGTGAAAAACATTGGTACAAAAAATCTACTTTATATTCTCTGAATATATTAATACAAATATTATTGCAAGTAACTAAATGTAAAATAGTAATGGATTTATTTTATTAACATTTATTAAAATATGTAGTTAAAATGTGACATATTTAAAGCATTTTATGCATTAGCATTGTGACTAGCGTTCTCTCTACAATTATGATAATAATGTATAATTATAACAAGTTATAATTAGCACAATGATAACATTTAATGTGTTTATAAATTTCCTATTTGTTATTATCATTTATATTATTTATAATAATTATAAAAGTAATATTCATAATACATTGTGTACTATCATCTCCATAATAACATATTTAATGCAATTTAAAATATAATTTTATTATCATCAATTATATTATTTGTAGTAATTATAAATAATAAATTGTGTACTTGCAATGTTACCTATCATCATAATAACAATGTAATTTTCATTTGAACATTAATCACATTATCAGTTGTTGTGGTAATCGTAAAATTCATAGTAATGTAATTGCAATAAGTTATGTATATCGATGTTAAAGGCAGTAAATAAGTTATTATGATTACTAATAATAAAAGTTGCACACACACTTATATATCGTGTGTGTTTTGTGTTTTGTATAATTTAATTAGTTATTTTAAATTACTTTAATAAAATTAAACCTCTCGCTTGTATGTTTTTTTTCTCCACTTAATTCATAAAATGCAACAAAATGTCAATGATCCTAAAATAGGCTTTATTTATGTTTGCTCAGATGTTTAGTTGGACCGTCACATGTCAGTCGTGAAATGCACTCCGATTCACTCCGTCATTCATTTATAATATTTGACGCATGTACTGAGATCCAGGAGTTCAGAAAGGGAAATGCCTTCTGGAATGGATGAAAAAATGCTGTTGAAAGCATAAACACATGATTGTGTGTGTGTGTGTGTGTGTGTGTGTGCAGAACCCAATCGTCACCCAGTTTTTCCCCACTCTGCTGCTGTGGGCCTTCTCCGCTCTGCTGCCCACCATCGTCTACTACTCCGGCTTCTTTGAAGCCCACTGGACCAGGTACAATCCCACAGTCTCCATCATCTTCCTGCTCACAGCACTCACAATTAGAGAGTAACAAGTAAAGTGTTACCAAAAAAATAAATACCGTACCAAACAATACCATGAAAACACACACACTACTCAAGGCCTACCCAACCAGAATGAAAACTGCAAAAAGCCTAACATGATCAAGGCTGCCAGTGTCCATGATGAACTACTGCATGCACACACACACGATCTTGACATGGAAAAGCACAAACCTGCTCACTAATTATAGTTGGATTCTCCTGGCCTTTATTTGGGCAAATTCATAATTCACGGCTTCATGCATTCTCAATGACACAGAGAGTCTGTTCTGTGACAATTATTTTTTTTTTTATTAGCTTCAGTTTTCGCACACACTGTTTTCTTTTTTAATTTGCCGCTATGATGCAGCGTTTGCACATAGTGTAGCGTCATTAAAAAATTACCACGTAGTTCTATGGCAAAAAAATAACACAAGAAATTAGAGAAATGAGAAATTACTGCACATGCATACAAAAATATATATATTGCACCATTTGCACAGGCATACCCAGACGCTACGCCACTGGATCCCTCTCTGTCTACTTGTTCATGTTATTATCCTTCTGTTCTTGAAAGGCGTTAAATAAATAAAACGTATTATTATTATTATTAACATTATTATTATTTCCTCTTCTGCTCCTGGTTTGCTCAGGTCGGGGGAGAACAGGACCACCATGCATAAGTGTTACACGTTCCTCATCTTCATGGTTCTCCTGCTGCCGTCTCTGGGTCTCAGCAGGTACACACACACACACACACACACACTCGATCAGAGACTTTCTTCTGTTTCTGATGTAACTAACAGTTTTTCTGTGGAAGTGGGTGGTTTATTAGAATCTTTATTTGCATAATTGAATATGTATTTATGTGTATGTCAGGAGACATACTGCCTCGAGCTCTCACCCGAACCGTTGTGTTTCAGACGTGCTGATGTGTTTCATCATTATTAAAATATTTAACATCAGATGGTGCGGTTCAAAGTAAAGGCTTGGTAAATCACAAAGCTCCAAGTATTAAACTGAATTAAATAGCAGTAAATGTTCTTCTGTGTCGTAGTTTGGATGTTTTCTTCCGATGGCTGTTCGACAAAAAATTCCTGGCTGATGCCACGGTCAGATTTGAGTAAGTCAACTATTTATTTTATTTATTTTTTACTTGTTCTTATTTTAATATTTTATTTTTTTTATTTTATTTTTACTTTATTAATTCTTAAACTTTCTTACCAGAATATATATATATATATATATATATATATATATATATATATATATAGTACTTTTAATGTATTTTTTAATGTAATTTATTTATTGTCTTTATTTTATTTGTCTATTTTATTTTTATGCATTTTATTCTTTTATTTTTATTTTTATGCATTTTATTAATTCTTAAACTTTCTTCCTGGCTGATTTCAGGTGTGTCTTCCTTCCTGATAACGGAGCGTTTTTCGTGAACTACGTCATCGCGTCGGCGTTCATCGGAAACGCTATGGACCTGCTGCGGATTCCAGGTCTTCTGATGTACATGATCCGGCTGTGTTTGGCTCGCTCGGCCGCGGAGAGACGCAACGTCAAACGGGTACAAGCAGACGCACAGATAACAGATCACATGACCTTTCACATGATCTCGATCCTTATCTTCACACACTTGTAGCGTTAGTGTTCAATCTGAGTCAGGAACACATCTGGGTCATGTTTTATCCCAATTATTAAGTGCATATAAATATATTATAGTTTCTATGTGTCTAATGAGATTATATTATGCATGAAAAAAATATCATTTTTAGGATCATTAAAAAAAAAAAATAAGCATCAAAAAAGGCAGACCAACAAATACCATAAATGCTTTACAATTTGAATGTGTTTTTTATTATAATTGTGGCATTATGTAAAATTTGCTCAGTTATAGTAAAAATAAAATCTTTAAAATAAATAATTAAATTGATTTCCTTAAAATCATTATAAATATTATTAAAAAAATTAATAATAATTCTGCATTTCTTTCTTTTGATGTTGGGATAAAATGTGACTGAAATGGAACATGATTTTGACAGGTTTTGTGGGATTTTTACACCCACCAATGGGTTATTTTTACCTGCTGTTCACCTGGATGATATTCCAGTCTGTGCTGACTTCAGTTATGTAACCTGTGTGTGTGTGTGTGTGCAGCATCAAGCCTATGAGTTTCAGTTCGGGGCCGCCTACGCCTGGATGATGTGCGTTTTCACTGTGGTTATGACGTACAGCATCACCTGTCCAATCATCGTTCCCTTCGGTGAGTGAGACCACGCCCACTCCCACATCAGCCCATTCACCAAACCAGAGATCGACAGCCAATCAGAGACAGAGAGAGAGAGTGCCAGATGAGCAACAAGGATGAAAGAGAACACAGGGAGAAATGTGTGAATGACACAACTGAAGAACACAAGTGAAAGAGTGTGTGTCAATAGTGCCCCCTGCTGGCAGAACGCCTACATGCAGTTTTTAGATAATGGAAAAAGCCCAATGCGCCAGCCGAGACCACCTGCCTACGCACCGTGTGTGTGTGTGCCAGAATAAATATAGATCCTCCGCCTGCGTTTTTCACTCCAAAACACAAAAATGGAGGAATTGCTGCATTTGAACAATAATCTCTTTGTTTTTCTGTCACTGATCTTTTGGATGCACACATTATGTCTAGAAGTCTCTCAGAAACACACACACACACACAGACGTCCTTCAGCTGGCGTTGCATGACTCATCGGGTCATTGGAGGTTCTGTTATGCGGAGGATAGTCTTATACGTCTCTCAGCCCACACTGCACACGCAGACGGAGATGCTCACCTCGTGACCGTCCGTCTGCAGACGCACTGAGGTCAAATGTGTCGTCTCAAGCGTCTCAGCCCGAGAAAGGCCTCAGGAGATTCAAATATTAGTTTTGTGGCTTTTAGTCCATATTCGTAGCTCATCTATAAGCTAATGTACTCCTAAAAGTTGACGAAATATACTTTTAGTAGATGTATGCATTCAATATTTTAGGTCCATTTGTCATATTGTTTGCATACATTTGGGGAAAAATCGCATTGTGATTTTTCTTACAAAAATAAAAATTAAAAATGCGAATTATTATTATTAAAAAAAGATTTGCAGGGCTGCGCGAAAATATCTGTGTGTGTGTGTGTGTGTGTGTATATATATATATATATATATATATATATATATATATACTAGGGCTGTGCAAAAATTAATTGCGATTAATCACATCCAAATTAAAAGTTAGCATGATAATGCTAATAATTAATATAGATAATATTGAGAATTTTGATATATATACTGTATATGTGTATATATGTATATGTGTATATATATATTAGGGCTGTGCAAAGATTAATTGCGATTAATCGCGTCCAAAATAAAAGTTTGTGTTTACATAATATATGTGTGTATGCTGTGTAGAATTATTTTGTATATATAAATACATATACATGGATATATATATTTAAGAATTATTTTCATGTAAATACTGTATACTGTATATGTAAATACATAATCTATATTATATATAAATATACAAATTTTATATATGAATAACACATTTTCTTAAATATATACATGCATGTGTGTGTATTTATATATACAAAATAATTAGATACACAGCACACAAACATATATTATGTAAACACAAACTTTAATTTTGGATGCGATTAATCGCAATTAATCTTTGCACAGCCCTAATATATACATACACATATACATATATCAAAATTATCAATATTATCTATATTAATTATTAGCATTATTATTACTGAATAAAATTAGAAATATTACTATTGTAAATGTATTATTGTAATTAAAGTATTTAAGAATGATAATAATAATTTTTATTTGGCAGTACTGTGAACCGAGCTGCTCTGAAACACTGAAAACATCCAAATGTTATTCGACTCATCTGTTGACATCATCAAGGCAGTCTGGGCGGGGCTAAATACTATCAACCAATTACATCACAACCCACTTTGAATGACCCAATCATTTCCACCCTGCATATTCCCTCAAAAATGTGTTTTATTGTGATGATGATTCTGCCAGAACAGCATGTAGTGATGTAGTGTGTGTGTGCAGGACTGATGTACATGCTCCTGAAGCACCTGGTGGACAGATACAACATGTACTACGCTTACCTTCCCTCTAAACTGGACAAGAAGATCCACTCCGGAGCCGTAAATCAGGTGGTGGCGGCTCCAATCCTGTGCCTCTTCTGGCTGCTGTTCTTCTCCACCGTGAGGACAGGTGTGTGTGTGTGTGTGTGTGTGTGTGTGCATTTAATCATTTAGCAGACGCTTTTATCATCATCATCAACTTTATTTCCAGACTCTTCGTCCATTCAGAACTTTAGATCACACAAGTCTGTAAACTAACAATTGTGAGAAGAAAAAAGTGTCAATTACCTTTTTTATTTTCCATTCTGTGGCGGAAACAAGCTTCCATAGACGGACCACAGGTGAAGCATGAGTTTGTTTTACTGATGCGCCATATAAATGCGGTTTATTCCCTCTCGTTTCTCAGGGTTTTCGACCCCGACTTCCATGTTTACCTTCGTGGTGCTCATCATCACCATCGTGGTGTGCCTGTCGCACGTCTGTTTCGGCCACTTTAAATACCTCAGCGCGCACAACTACAAGGTACGAGTTGCGGTCCTGCAGGTACGAGCTCTCGGGGTCAGGCCACGGGTAGCTCAGGTACGCTCACCTGTTCCCTGCAGAAACAGTCACATGACCTCACTCTCGTTTCAGATCGACACCAAGGACACCGACGTCGACGGAGTGGAGAACGGACGTCCTGCTAGATCCTCGCCTTCCAACAAATCTCAGGTACTTTTCACTGAGGACCCTTTATACCAGTTTATCATATGTACATAAAAAATAACTTATTTGTTGGGTTTTCTTTTGTATTATTTTATTATGTTTTTGCCATGAAGATAATCTCTGACATGGCTTTAAAACGCTATACTTAAACAACATGTTTGTCACGGTTTATTCATCCATAAACAGTCGTTCTCTATGATTCTTAGACAACATCAAGATCTGCAAATTTAAACATTAAACCTTCTCTTTTGCAATTATCCATAACGCCTACTTAAAATAAACACTTATTGTTCTTTTTCTTATAATTATTATATAAAGCAATTTATATATCATTATTTGTATAGTACCACTGGAATGACTTTAATGTTAAAAATACATTTGTCTCTATTTTGAATAATATTAATGATAATTAAAAAAAAATGACTTCAATTAATATTGTTTTTGTAGAGCAACTGAAGGTATTATTATGGTAGTATTTGTTGTAGAAAATGAAATTGCTTATTTTAATAACAAAAAATTATAATTTATTGTTGTAGATGATGATAATGATAAATAAATACTTGGTAATAATAATTATAATAGTTAAATGAGTCAATGACATTTTCATTTAAATTGTTTTTATAGTACAACTCATACAAAATGGTGGTATTTATTTTACAGAATTAAATTGCCGATTTCAATGATAAAACTTGCTGTCTGTAGTATTATTAATAATGATGATAATTATGACTATTATAAAAATGTATACCAACTATCAATAATAATATGTAAATTACATATTATTTAAATGTATACATTTTAATTTACATTGGTTTATGTAAGAACTAATATAATAAAAATAATTAGTCTTTATTATTATTATTATGATTATTGCATTACTGTAAAATATGAATGAAATTGTGATTATTGGTTATGTAAATGTCACAATGCAAATAATATTCCTAAATGCAGGCTTAACTTTCTTTATCCAAAGTATAATTTCACATTTAATTTTCTATATATATTTTTATTGTTTTTCATATATTTTTATAAAGTTGATTTTGGGGTGAGATATGCTCTTTGTGCATCAAACATTTATTTTAATATTATAAAATAATTTTTTTATATAATTAGGGCTGTGCAAAGATTAATTGCGATTAATCGCATCCAAAATAAAAGTTTGTGTTTACATAATATTTGTGTGTGTGCTGTGTATAATTATTTTGTACATATATAAATACACATGTATACATTTAAGAATTATTGGCACATAAATAATGTGTTATTTATAATCTATATTATATATAAATATTTTATATATGAATAACATTTTTTTTTAAATATATACATGCATGTGTGTGTATTTATATATACAAAATAATTATACACACACATACTATGTAAACACATACTTTTATTTTGAATGATCGCAATTAATCTTTGCACATCCCTAAATATTTTTCAATAAATATTCTTAATGACAAACAAATTGATCTTTTTATGAGCAATGGCTGTTTTTCCTCCACCGCAGCAGATGTACATCGCCCAGGTCCTGCAAGACCCGAACTCTGACGAGACCGGCGCAGGCAGTGGAGAGGACGACGGGCAGGGGTCCTCGCAGGACGAGGAGATGATCAACGGTGGAAACAGCCTGAACGACGCCGACTTCCAGTCCGGAGAGGACAGTCTCATCGCCAACGAAGTCCACCAGTAACGGGAGAGAGAGCGGCGGGAGGACGAGAGCAGAAGCCCCCGTCGAACGCTGAATTTACCGGATGTTTGTTGGCTCAAAACATCAGCACCTTAGAAACCCTCATCTGCCAAAACACTTGAACAGACTGTACATAAGCACACGCGCTCGCACACATCGATGCCAACACGCTTACAAACAGCTGCATGAGCGCTCGGGGTCCGAACCCAATCAGATCCAAGACTTCCTGGATTTCCCCTTTCGTAAAGGTCCATGAATATCTCCTCGTTTGGTTTGCTTACCCATAAGCCTCAGGAAAAGGAAAAGAAAGCTCTCCTCTTTCTGATCTCGGAAGCATCCCATGGTTCGCCTTATCGGCTGCTTGTTTTTGGCCCTAAACGATTGGATTTCATCTGGTTTTCCGAAGGAAACGTGCAATAGTGCGAGCGTGGAGGAATCGCGACCCCATCACTGCGTTCACTGTACAGTATTCTGCCAGAACACTACAGGACGGACTGAACTTCTCCTGATGTACAGTATTGCCAGAGATGCGCTGTGTGAGTGTGTGTTCGTGTTGACATTGAATGACCCATATTCTTACGTTTTTTTTTTGGTATTTTAAATGCGAAATTTGCCTTTACAACCTATAATGGATGTGTTTGTATGCCTGCACAGAAGTTCTCGATCAGCGACGGAGAATCAGTCGTCAGCGTCCCGTGATGTGATCGGGAAGCCAACGATGTTCGGTTAGAAAGCGCGTTCCTGTAGACTGGATAGCATTGTGAAACATGGCAAGCATTCCCTGTTTGGTGCCTGCTTTCGAGAGTAGAGCGACAATAGAAAGTCGTTTTTTCTTTTTCTCGTTGTGTAGTTAAACCCTGTGAGGTCGATCTAATCCAAGTACTAATACTACGAGAAATGTAGGGTCACATGAAGATACGAAGCAGATAAATAATAATAACGCAAGACATGCAATAAACCCCAAGCTGAGAAAACACGTAATCACAGGTTAGAATATGGTTTATTAATTTCCATAATTCAACTTAAAAGGTGAAGCTAATATATTATATAGACTCATTACATGCAAAGTGAGATATTATTTGTTATAATTTGGATGATTATGGCTCACAGTTTATAAAGCAGTTAGCCATAATCATCACAATTATAGCAAATAATATCTCACTTTGCATGTAATGAGTCTATATAATATATTAGCTTCACCTTTTAAGTTGAATTATTGAAATAAATGAACTTTTGCACTATATTCTATTTTTTCCAGTTTTACTTGTAAAATCATGAATTATCCAGCTTAAATTTGGAGTTTGTTTGCAACCACTAAAGATATTTAAATCCGTCTGAAATCCCACGTTTCTATTGGCCGTTTACAGAAGCTAATCATGAAGTGGAGCGATTTTTCTTCCAGCAAACTGACCCTGAAGCCATTAAAGTGCAAGTCAACAACATGCACACAGTTTTTGAGTACATAACAGACTTTAGTAAGGGACGCCGAACCGAAACACCCAAAAACATCATTCACGCGCGTGTATTGAGAGATTCATCCGCTGCCGTTTCATTAGTACTTGAGTGAAATGAATCATGACGTCTATTCTTTATTATTCCTCCAGTTTCTGATGTTCTCGCAGATCGATGTGCCGGATGCGGATCTGATGGTTTTTGTAGTTTGTTACTGTATTCTCTGGATGAAGACGCACGATTATCTGGATCAACTGGCACTAAAATGGCGAGCCTCAGGTGTTCTTTTATTTTCCGAAAGACAAAAAATGTTTACATCCGTGTCTCTGTCATCTGTCGTTTTTTTTAACTCGTTTTCCTGCGTTTCTCATCGATGAAGACACAAAGAGTAACCTATGAAAGCTACGCGCTGGAGATACTGACGTCAATTTGTGTCTGTCCGTGGATGATGAAGTGAACATGAGCTGAATTTGTATATCCAAATGAAGGCCATTTCTTGGTTTCCGAACTGTCCCGTTTTTTCAGGGGTTCCTCACCTGCTTCTTATTGAGTTAATGACGTGAAGTTTCTTCAGCATTTGGCGGTGAAGTAAAGAGCGGTGCGGGTATTTTTGTAATATTGCTCTGTTTGGAGATGCAAATGTTCGGCCTGTTGAAGTATTTGATACTAGTGATGTATTAAAGCTAGCTGTCGCTCAATGGATTTTTAATATATCATGACTTTGTTTTATAAGCTAAACATTTACGTTCTGAAGTGCGGAGCTGTGCGTTATGCAAGAATGAATTCCAGGATGATGTTTGTACAAACCTTGATTCCCAGCACAGTTCTGATGCCGATGTACAGTGTGTTTGAGCCGGTCCTGCTCATCGCTGTAGAAGTAGACCAACTGCTCTAGAACCCGTGTGAGATTTCTTTGAAACTTTTCTGTCTAAAGGTTGTCCTTATGGTGAAGCATTTGTCATCTTCAGTTTCTTGATCAATAAAAGTTGGTATTCATTCTGTGCACTTGTGTGTGTGTGTGTGTCGGCCAGGAGGAGGCGCCACTCGCAAAAAACATAGCCATAATATCAAGATTGTGTCTTAAAAATCCAGCTTTTAATGTTGTTTATGTGTGTGTGTGTGTGGTGTTTTTAATCAACCCGGTCTCATCCCAAGACGTCATATAACTGACGTTTTGGGACGTCTTTTGACCATACGTCAATATTCGCCTTTTTAGGGCCCCCTTAAACGTCGGTAGATGAGGTTATGGGATCCTAACTCTACCCCATACCTAAACCTAACCCTAAACCTAACCCGTCACCTAACTGACGTTAAAGGTAAAGCGTCAGTTTTATGACGGCCCGGGATCGCCACCTACCGACGTTTAAGGGGGCCCTAAAAAGGCGGATATTGACGTATGGTCAAAAGACGTCAGTTATATGACTTTTTGGGATGAGACTGTGTTATTTTAATACACTTAAATCATGTGTAAGTTCATAAGTGGACAGCATTGCTGAGTATTTCCTCCTTAAAACTGCAGACAGTCTCAAAAACATGGTTTCTGACGTCACAAACCACCTTGTAACCTCTCTGAGCTGAGTGAGTGAGTGGAGGTGGGGTTCATTTGCATATTCATAGAACCGCGCATACTAAATGAGGGTGTCAAGTTACATTCAAGCTATTTTAAGGCTTGAAAAATTATTTTCAAGGAAAAAAAATTGAAATTTGTCATTTCGGTGATCAAAGATGAGTTTTAAGAGGTAAGTATCGACTACAGGGGGCTTTACGAACTAGTGTGAACAGTCTTGCATTAAAGAACGTGACTAACTTAGCAGTTTATGCAACTGACCCCTTTTTTGATTATTTGAAATCATATTTACCTATTTGTATAGTTTAGTTCTATTAGTATTTTGCGATTGCAGGTGATACGGGTGAACGGTGTAAAACATTAACTCGTATAAATCACCATTCTTCCCCAGTTAATTAATCGCTGTATTTTAAGACATGTGAGTTGTCTGAAATATTATGTTTAAATATGTGGTAACACTTTAGGGTCCAATTCTCACTAAAAAAAACTAATTGTTTATTAGCATGCATATTACAGCACATATAAAGCACATTTTAATACCTTATTCTGCATATTCATAGTCTATATCCTATGACGCCACGTCACTGCGTTGCCATGGCGCGAAATGCAAATGGCGGCCGGAAGTGATTTGCTCTATTTAGAAAGAGCTGTAACACACTCAAATGCCTGTGTTTTGCGTCGTTTATCGTTACTTAAAACGATCAAACCACGAGGAGATTTATCGAGTACCTAAAGTTGTTGTTCATAGTGTTGTTCAATGCTATTAAATGACCGAAAAACTCCGGAAAAACGGCTTGCAAACGTCTGAGGTCGGGAGGAGCCGAATGGGGAAAATGCCCGTGTGTGCAGTGATCACTAAGTCAAAGGTAAACAACAATTCAAGTGGCTATGTTTGTGTAACATTAATGTGTAATGTTTCCGAACTTTGTAAAGTCAAAGTATGTCTGCAAGACGAGGTAGTTCATAGTTGCTGATATCTACCACCTCGATGGCTGAAAAATCTTTCAATTCAGTTGAAAAATCGCTCCTCTTCATAACTTAAGGATCACGTCCAACATATGTTTGATTTTATTGTTTATATCTTTCTCTTGTAATATATAGCGTGTAAAGTAGTACAGTACGGACTTTCCTCCATCTCGTCCATTGCGTTCTTCTTCACTCCCTGCCCTCCATCTGAATTTTGCGCGTCATCATAATCACGTGACTGTCACTAACAACTAATAATAATAATCTGAAAAGAGGAGTTTGAGGTGAACCCTAGACTAACGTGTGACTGAATATGCAAATAAGGTATCTAATTAAATATGCACTAATTTGCATGCATTTCTACAGAAATCTCAACATTCTTGTTTTACAGATTGCCTTCAGCTTTCTCACAGATGTACAGCGTTAGAGCAGTTGTTGCATTCGTAACATGGATGTGTGTTGTGCAGTTTCGCTGTAACTTCCCCTGCGTCTGTCATGTTTTTCCACACACACACCACATGCATGCAAGGTTTCGTCTTGAGCTAAACGGTTTCAACCTCAGACGACACGTGTCTCTTCACCAAACGGCCGATTTACACACTGACTCTTAACAATCAGGCTGTGTTTGTCTCTCAGAAACTTTTATATTTAAAATGGCCATTCTGTGTTTGATCACTCAACTTTAGTGACATTTTTTTTTCTGTAATTTAAAGGGTTTGTTGCAACCAGGACAAACACAAGAACACAGATCAATGTAGAAGCAAATACGTTTTTATTAATAATAATAATAAAGCATATAATATTTGGCACTTTGGTGTCTCTTCTTACAAAGAATAATGTAGTGTTGAGGGAAAATGTATTTAATATATCGGTAGTACGAGGTAGAGTTGGTTTGATCATATACCCTTAAAACTTTAAAACTTCACATCGATGTTTTTATACAAGTTAAATACCATAATATCATAATGCATTTCAACTTCATCTGATTATTAAAAATGGCTACAATACAATATGTGCCTTATATATACTTCTATAAAGAAAAAAATAAAGGTATTTGAATAATATAAAAATGACACGGTTTTATCTCAAATGTTTAAGGAAGATGCGAAAAAAACCTTGCAATTAACATGAAAAAATACTATTCATTTAAAAACAATGTGTTAAAACAATGATATTCTTAAACTAATACTAATATATACTGCCGTTCAAAAGTTTAATGCTCAGAGTTTCTCCTGCGCATCAAAGCTGCATTAATTTGACCAAAAAATACAGTAAAAACAGTAAAATATTAGTACAATTTAAAATAGCAGTACGCTAGAATATATTATTAATAGTTATTTATTCCAGTTATGCATTTAGTTTTTCAGGATTCTCGGATGAATAGAAAGTTCAAAAGAACTGCATTTATTTAAAAATAGAGTCTTTGTAACGTTATAAAAATGGATTTACTGTAACTTTTGATCAATTTAACGTGTTCTTACTGAATAAAAGCATTCGTTCATCCCCACACCAAAAAATAAACCTTTGAACGGTAGCGTCAGCTTTAAAGGAGTAGTTCACTTTTGCTTACCCCCATAATTTACTCACCCCCATGTCATCCAAGATGTCCATGTCTTTCTTTCTTCAGTTGAAAAGAAATGAAGGTTTTTGATGAAAACATTCCAGGATTTTCTCCATATAATGGACTTCAATGGGGTCCAAACGGTTCAAGGTCCAAAAGACAGTTTCAGTGCAGCTTCAAAGGGCTTTAAACGACACCAGACGATGAATAAGGTAGCAAGTAAATGAACAAATCTTTTTTAGAGTCATTTCGTTTGTTGAATGAACCAAATGACTCGAAAAAAGAGTTCAAACAGGAGAGTCACGAACACGCATCACAAAACAGAGCGAGGCAAGCATTTGTACTTATAAAACTTAGACTTTGTTATTTATTTTTGAAATGACCGCTCGTTTCGCTTGATAAGACCCTTATTCATCGTCTGGTGTCGTTTAAAGCCCTTTGAAGCTGCACTGAAACTCTCTTTTGGACCTTGAACAGTTTGGACCCCATTGAAGTCCATTATATGGAGAAAATCCTGGAATGTTTTCATCAAAAACCTTCATTTCTTTTCGACTGAGGAAAGAAAGACATGGACATCTTGGATGACATGGGGGCGAGTAAATTATCAGCAAAAGTGTTTTTAAAAGTGAACTACTCCTTTAAGTCCCCTATATAATGGGCAGTGAGAGTTTGAGACTCATCCGGTGGGATCTGTTCTGTTCCGCTGAAGATCCGGACTGGTTTAGTTTGATCCCGTACGGAGCTGCTCGGGACAGTCCCATGTGAAGCACCTGTAACGCTGGGTCTCCTCTGTGTGTGTGTGTGTTCAGACGAGCGCGCGGAACAGGAACGACACAGACGCTCCGAGAGCGAGACCGAGAGACAGGAAGAAGGCCATGATCGCTCCGGCTGTCTCCGCCTCGCTCGGGTCCACTTTCCTGAGACAAACACAAGAGATGCGCTCAGGTGGGATTATTATTTTTTAATGTAACATTGCTGTTTTTATTCTAAATGATTTATCGGTGCACGTCAATAATGTTGAATCAGAATAAGTTCCTTCTCTGATGATGTGGGCGGAGCAACCTGTCACTCACATGAGGTCAGCCAATAGGAAACCACAACCATCCAATCAAATCAAGCCCCGCCCACATGTGTTCTTGTTTCTCTCGGATATACGACACAATAGTGAAGAAGAGATGTTTGCAACTGTTTCATGCTGACTTTACATGTAAACGATGAGTGAATCAAACACAGTGGTTCTCAAGCGAGGCGATTTAAAATTATAAATGACTTGAATTTTAGTTGTCTTATTTTAATTCAACCCCATAGAAAATCTGGATTTTAAAAGTTACGGAAATATATACAATCTTAAAACGCCATGGACATTTTCTTAACGAATATACATTTGTCTACAGTAAAAAATGTAAATCCTTATACAGTAAATCACAAATAACTGTAAAAGTCATTGGTTAAAAAGTACATTCTGGTCTTAAAACTACTAGACTTCTCAAATCTCGTTGTTTTATTTCAATATTTCAATTCATGGATAAGTTCGAGAACTACTGGTTTAATTATAACTTAATTACACTTTACAATAAAGTCCCATTGGTTAATGCATTAACCAACAATAAGCAATAGATTTGTTACAGTATTAACTCATGTGTTAATAAAAATAAACCTAAGCTCCCTTATATATTATTAGTAGATTGCTTCTATTACTGAATTAATAAAATGTTGAAATGAAGATTTTTAGTTGGACTTTATTTTAAAGTGTCCGTATACATTTAAGTGCAGAGTAATAATAATGAACTACATGTTGCATGTAATTAAGCACTTATGACCATAGTAATGTATATCAAGGACACTGTAAAATAAAGTGCTACTAATGTCAGCAAATGAAGCGTTCATGACGTGTTCTGGCAGGTGGACGTGTCCTCATACACGAGGATTGACTCACTTGGGTCCGAAGCACATGCACAGACTGGCCAGATATCCATTGGAAAAGGCAAAGAGGATCATGAAGGCGATGAACCAGCCGTCGTGTGTGAAGTAGACGGGCAGATTGACACGAGGCTGGACGTTACACAGCATGAAGAGCGGGACGAATATCACACGCGCCAATATCAGACCCGGCAGCAGCTTACTGTCTTTCCCAGGCTGAGCGAGAGACACCGAGAGACAGAGAGAGAGAGAGAGAGAGAGTGAGTGCATTCAATGTCATTGCACAACCTAATATCCAATCATCTGTATTTATTAATGTACGTACCCTAAATCCTCCCACCTTTTGTGAACATTGTGTGATTTAAAGGAGTAGTTCACTTTTAAAAAACACTTTTGCTGATAATTTACTCACCCCCATGTCATCCAAGATGTCCATGTCTTTCTTTCTTCAGTCGAAAAGAAATGAAGGTTTTTGATGAAAACATTCCAGGATTTTCTCCATATAATGGACTTCAATGGGGTCCAAAAGAGAGTTTCAGTGCAGCTTCAAAGGGCTTTAAACGACACCAGACGATGAATAAGGGTCTTATCAAGCGAACTGATCGGCCCTTTAAAAAATAAATAAAAAAGTTTTATAAGCTCAAATGCTCTCCTTGTTCTGTTCTGTGATGCGCGTTCGTGACTCTCCTGTTTAAACTCGTTCATCAAAATGAACGAATCTTTTTCCGAGTCATTTCGTTCATTCAATGAACAAAATGACTTAAAAAAAGATTTGTTCATTTACTTACTATCTTATTCATCGTCTGGTGTCGTTTAAAGCCCTTTGAAGCTGCACTGAAACTCTCATTTGGACCTTGAACCGTTTGGACCCCATTGAAGTCCATTATATGGAGAAAAGAAAGACTTTTCGACTGAAGAAAGAAAGACATGGACATCTTGGATGATATGGGGCCGAGTAAATTATCAGCACATTTTTTTCTCCTTTTTCCAATGCTTTAGTCACAGTTTAAAATGATATTAGTTAGAAAATATCAAAACAGGAGTCTTTTAAACTGAAGAAAGGGATGCGTGAACACACTTTGCATCTGATGCATGAACGTTTCTCACCCACATACACACTGCGGTCAGACTGCGGCCGGCCCAGTCGAACACATTGAAGAATAGGAAACAGGACACTGGGATGAAGTACTTCTCTAAGAGAGGGAATTCAGGTGTTTAAATGATGGTGAAGTGTAGTAATATTCTCCTGAACAGTCATTTAGAGCTATATGTCTGGTTTCTAATATTTCTAAGATTTCATTATTTTCCGCCATAATTCACCGCACAAACACACTATGGTGGTTATTTGCATTTGTTTGTCTAGTCATTATCAGACACATGATCTACGGAAGCCCATTCCTGCCACACCAGGACAACAAATCATGCTTTGCTTTGGTGAATCCTAAATATGAGATCAAATGTCAAAATTATGATTTACTATGTCATAATTTCAGCTTTTTCATCTCATAAAGATGTCATAATTTTTACTTTTTTTTACTTAGTATGTCACAATTATGACAGTATATTCGAATCATCTATATTTGAGTGTAAATTTTTACTTTTTTCCTCATGATTCATAATTGACTTGAGTAAATCGACTTGATATGTTCTCATGATGACTTAGTATGTCATAATTTTGTCTTGTCAAATTCACCTTTTTAATCTCATGACAGTGTGTCATAATTGTATGTCATGATCAACTTTTTTTTAATCTTATTCCGATTTATCTTATAGTTTTAGTGTCATAATTTTGACTTTTTATCTCATGATTATGTCATAATTTCACCTTTTTACTCTCAAAATGATTTTTTTTAAATAAATAATGATTATGTATCGACTTAGTATGCCATAATTGGCTTTGTATCTCGTCATGTTACCTTTTTCTGTGATCAGTAATGATCATCGCTGACCTCGAGTGAATCACACACACACACACTCACCCCACACTCCGCCTCCAGCGATGCTCGATCTCACATCCACAGTGATCGCAGGAAACGTGCCGATAGTGACCGTGAAGGCGAAACACACCGAGACGGCCATGAGCCAGATCTGAAGAGAAATATTAATGCGTATGAATATGCTGCGGTGTTTTAAGTGTTTTAAGCGTCTGTGCGTTTACCTTCTTAAAGATGCTTAACATGGAAGGTGTGTGTTTGTCGTCGTCTCCAGCGCTTTGCTGCCGCTGATCTACAAGTACAATTCAGATCAATGTTTGACTTCATAATATTCAGACACGTTCTGCTCTGATCAGTCGACGCACCGTTCTTCAGCAGATCCATCTTGTTCTCTTCATCCTCGGCTGGTTTGTTCTGCTGACTCTTCTGATAATACTGGAAGAACGCCTACAGGAGAGATGTCGTGAACGTTTGCTGCTTTAAATCGACGCACAGACGTTTCCAGACGCTCTGATTTACCAGTTTAGGAAGGGCCACGTATGATGCGACGGCCAGAGCGATGACGGCACACGCTGTGATGAAGTATCCGAACGCACTGTCCTGTATAGAAGAACCACCTGAGAGACACAACCAGCTTTACATGCACGTCTAACATCAGGAAACTTCAACCTTGAATGCATCTCTAGTAATGGCTTTATTTTTGGAATTAATTTTTGATATGTTTTATCTTACCTGAAGGTCAGTGTTTCCGCAGTATTTTTGATATTTTTAGGTCAAACCGTTCTTGTCTGTCAGTCATATAATGGAGGTCTATGGTCACCACCTCAAAGAGCATGCACAGAGAAGTCCAAATTAAACATGATTTAATGACTCGTAAATGTAAGTACGCTGTGTGAGAAAACGAACAGTATTTATATCGTTTTTACCTCTTGTAACAACAGCCACAACGCGCCCGCGTCCTCAGATCACTTGGACGTGGCTTTGGTTACAAGAGGTGAAAACGATATAAATACTGTTCGTTTTCTCACACAGTGTCTTAGGCCATCAATGTGTACTTACATTTACGAGTCATTAAATCATGTTTAATTTGGACTTCTCTGTGCATGCTCTTTGAGGTGGTGACCATAGACCTCCATTATATGACTGACCTAAAAATATCAAAATTGAAAATACTGTGGAAACAAAGGGTTGAGGTAAGATAAAACATACCAAAAATTAATTTCAAAGTGAACTATCTGTTATTTGAGTGTCTTGCACTGTAGATGCTTTAGTTTTACAGACTGAAACGATGTTTTGCGACTCACTGGCGATGGCACAGATCATGGAGAACGCAGCGAAGGTTCCTGCGAGTCCCTGTCCGCTCATGATGGGTGTTGTGTATGAAGCCGGGAGGAGGCCGGCCATCCCGAAGAGACTTCCCTGCAGGACGGCTCCGAACGCTGGGAACAGTTCAGTTCAGTTCACATTTATATGTATCGCGCTTTCACAACACACATCGTTTCAAAGCAGCTTTACAGAAAATGCACATTACAATTGATCTGTTATCAGAGGAAACTGTCTAAGTTATGTGTTTCAGAAATGTACAAAATCACAGTTAGAGAAAAATGTATTAATTTAAACAATTTGTTAATGAAAGACAGAAACAATCATGAGCTCATCGAGCTCAACAACATGATCATTCACAACTCATCCTGCTAACAAACATATATTCTTAGAGCGTTTTGATAATGTTCTCATTAATGTTCTATGAACATTTCAAAACTACGGAGGCGTATTGCATTCACTTGAAGAAAAAAAATCTACTCTGTTTTTCTGAATTAACGAGTTAATCTTTCGTGAGAAAAAAAGTTTTTGCTCTGTTTTTCTGAATTAACAAGTTATTTTTTCTGAATTAACAACATTCCATGAAAAATTAACTTGTTAATTCAGAAAAACAGAGCAAAAAAAATCCATGAAAAATGAACTCGTTAATTCAGAAAAACAGAGCAAAATATTTTTTTTCTCATGAAAAATTAACTCGTTAATTCAGAAAAACAGAGCAAAAACTTTTTTTCTCATGAAAAATGAACTCATTAATTCAGAAAAACAGAGCAATTTTTTTTCTCATGAAAAATTAACTCGTTAATTCAGAAAAACAGCAGATTTTTTTTCTTCAAGTGAATGCAATACGCCTCCGTACGAAACGTAATTAAATAAAAAAATTCTAAAAACGTTCTTTTATTTATTGGTTATATGAATGCTGAGGAAACATTCCATTCTATCAACATTCCATCTTTGTAATGTTACTTTTGAATTTTCTCGGAATAATTTCTTAGATTAGTAACATGTTCCAACTCCGGTTATTTTTACCTGAAAAATCAAAAGCATGTGACGTTTACGCCCGAGAGTCTCTCTTCCGTTTAACGACACATGAAACGAGCGAATGCTTATACAATGTTCAGGGTAATAAGCTGAACGAGCCGTTCTGTACTGTAATGTTAATGTGTGTCATGCAACGAAAATAAGTAATGTAAAGTGTAGTCTCACAGAGTCAGATCTACACTATCCCTGTTAGCTGAGAGTTTACTTCCATGACATTGACAGTGAAAAAGAGGTTCAGCACGTTATTAGACTTTGGTGAACGATTATATAAGGCTTATATTAATTGTTCTATATAAAATTTCATGTTGATTTAAATAACTAACAAACACGTGTGTGTTACGTTTGAGTGTAAATGGCAGCATGCGTTGGGTGTGGAGGCTCACAGTTGATGCAGATGATCTTGATCATGGTGACGACGAAGAACGGCAGCGGCTCCAGCTCCACCTTCACCAGGACGGCGGTCAGCAGAAACACCAGCAGGATGGCCAGCAGACTCCCTGCGATCCGGACCTTCTGAGGGATTCTGGGGGTTCAAAGCTCAGGTTAGAGGAGAATGCCCACGGATATGGTCAAGGACACTTAATGACTCAAAAAACATAAGGAACATTTTTTTAAATATATTTTCATATATTATATTTAATATATTTTCCATAAAGAAAATCAGGAACGTATTTTTAGGAACGTTTTCTCTGAGAATTTGATGGCAAATAAATAATCTCACAATGCAACAAATAAATAACCATAAATAAATAATAATTTAAATAAATAAAAATATTGAAACAAACAAAGATATTGAAATCAAAAATATGTATTTATATAAAACCTAATATTTACTGGATGGATGGATGGATGAATGGATAGATAGATAGACAGATGAATAGATAGATGGATGGATAGATAGATGGATGGATGGATAGATCAAATATTTAGTGGATGGATAGATAGATAGATAGATAGATAGATCAAATATTTAGTGGATGGATAGATGGATGGATAGATAGATGGATTGATAGATCAAATATTTAGTGGATGGATTGATGAATCGACAGATGGATAGATAGATAGATAGATAGATAGATATATAGATAGATAGATAGATAGATAGATAGATAGATGGATAGATCAAATATTTAGTGGATGGATGGATGAATGGACAGATGGATAGATAGATGGATAGATCAAATATTTAGTGGATGGATAGATGGATGGATAGATAGATCAAATATTTAGTGGATGGATAGATAGATAGATGGATAGATCAAATATTTAGTGGATAGATGGATAGATAGATAGATAGATGATGGATGGATGGATAGATAAATGATGAATGGATAGATAGATAGATAGATGATGGATAGATAGATAGATAGATAGATAGATAGATAGATGGATGGATGGATGGATAGATAGATAGATAGATAGATAGATAGATAGATAGATAGATAGATGGATGGATGGATGAATGGATGGACAGACAGACCTCTGGTGAAGGGCTGAGTTGAGGCAGGTGAACACCAGCAGAGGAACCATCGCACACAGAGTCATCACATTATTAAACTTGGCCTGTAAGACGCTGCGTGGCGCTTCTTCTGTCACGTTGGCTGAGAAGTTTGAGTTGGCTTCAGTTACAGGGTCTGCTAGACGACTGGTGAAATACTACAGGATAAACAGTTAAAAGGGAGATATGTGTCGTCTGTTTCTGAGAGCGCTTTTTGCAGTTTTGCAACACTTAGTCAGCATTTCTGGTCGTCTGCGTGAATGTTAAAACAAAAAAACACTTCTCAAGTTGTTCTCACGCAAACTAGTTTATCGTGTGATGCAAAGTTACCATTGTGGCCGTCATGAAGAAGTTCCACGGCAGGAGAGTTCCCAAACCCAGCATGAAGAAAATCCACCACACGCCATTATATCTGTCACAAGAAGAGACGCGGGAATCTGCTGTTGAAATGTGTGTGTGTTTTTTCTTAACAACCACAGAATACAAAATACTTTGAGGAGATTAACTCTTTCTTTCTTTCTTTCTTTCTATTTTATCAACACATGAATGTAAAGTAAGTTTCGAACAATAAGCTGATAAATTGGTGTTTTGGTCAAAGTTTCGGTCCGGATGAGATTCAGAGCGATGATCTAAACACAGATCGAGTCCATCAACACCTCAGAGCTTCAGTTATTAACCATTCGTGGGTTCAACATTTCATTTAATAACGTTACACAGTATTGATTCATAAGCTGTTTCGTGTTATTTTACATATCCTTCTATCGCTTGTTTCTGCTTCTTCTCCTGTGTTTTGATGAGGAGATGCTGAACTCTTTCAGTGTCTCCTGTATTAACACTGAAGATTACGGATTGCCCAAAACACTGTGAATGGCGGGGAAAGAGTTAAAGATATCAGATTAAACTGACCAGGACATGCCTCTGCACATCTACTCTTAATCAGATGTAAAAAAATCACCCGTTTGTTCTTGTTATCTGATTCAGTGCTCATTTGTATCAGAAGGAATGGCAAAACAGCGAGATAAGCCTAAACTGATGTTCAACTCACTTGTCTTTGGGCACCTCAGGGTCCATGTCTGTGAGATTCAGAAAAATGACTCTGGATTTTGTTGTTCAAGCTCCTGGAAGAAACACAGACATGTTCATGTACACGAAGAAATGAGAAAGATGAGAAAGCCTTCAACGAAAGATATCACTTTCTAACTATTCATTAAAGCAAAAGAAATAAGAATATAATGTATAATCATAATTATAACATGTATAATATAGCATAACATAAATTACGTAAAATAAAACAATATAGAATAATGAATAGATACCATATATCATGTTCAATTTTCAACAAACCTTTCATTTCACTTATTTCTAAATTTAAATATAAACTAAAAACAAAATTGATTGACAACAAGCTTCATTTTCTTATGCAAAGCAAGCCTATCATTTCTTATTTTCTTTCTTTTTTGAACTTTTGAGATGAAATCTGACTAATATTTCATCCTGAACCTCTACAATGCACTATATGAATCATAATACCAATAAATCAAATAAAAAAAATGTATAGAATGATAAACACAAGCCATATCATGTAAGAATATACACAAAACTTTCACCAAAAAAATAGTTGTCCCGTAACTTTCAATCTTAACTAACCAGGACAAAGAGACAACAGTTTCACAATCACTGTAACAAGGCTAATTGCAATAAAAAAGTGAAGTGAAAAACTTACTGACCCTTGTATATGCAGCTCGTACACTCTTGCACTAATGTCTCTTCACACACTGCACAGCTGCAGGACACTTTACTAGCGCTGTGTGTGACTCCGCCCTCCTCATGCATATGTAATGAGGGGCTGCAGGGTCTGAGTACTGATAACGAGCCTTATCTGAGCGTTTGCACCAGCAACATACAGACACAGAAAACACAACTGAAACCCGTCTGCAAAACAACGAAACCACTTAAATTTCTCAACAATGAAGCAGACAGTATGCATTCGCTGAAGAAATTAAAAGTAAATTGTTATTTTGTATTTAATATTTATATTAAAGTTACAGCTCTTTAAAAAAAAAAAACCCCAAAAAACATTAAATTAGTCAGTGCATCATCAATCTAACTGGGTGTAACTAATTACTAAGTAATTAGTTACTGTAATTTAATTACTTTTCCCTTGAAAATATAAAGTAAGGGATTACTCTTCATTTATCTGTAATTTAATTACAGTTACTTCTGATGTAATTGAGGTAAATACTGAATCCGATCTCACAGCGATTCGTATGCATTTTATGAGGTGTCTAAATATTACGACCGCACTCGTACAAATTCGTATGAATTATTGTGAAATATGTATGAAAAAAGTGTGAGATCAGACATAAAACAATAGTGGGTTTAACATCAAAATGTATTGTCTGATGCTAAAAAGTATGTTTTTATTATGTAACCTTCTCCACCTTGGTCAGTTTAAGGATAATTCATGCAATTTTATAGTATTTATTTAAAAGAATTAAAACAGATTCATGTCTATTCTTGTATTATTCAGCTGGATGAGATTGATATGGGATTTTGAAAGTAATTAAAAGTAATTAAATACGTTTTAGAGAGAGTAATTAGTACAGTAATCTAATTACACTGTTGAAGAGGTAATCAGTAACTAGTAATTAATTACTTTTTTAGAGTAACACTGGTCACAACGAGTGAGAAAGGTTGACATCGAGCTGCTAAATCTTCAACCTCTGCTAAAGCACAACCAAAACAATGTTCTTCTGCAAAATGCATGCAGTTTTGTTTGTTTGTTACCTTTGTAATGTAATGTTGATAGAATGACCTTTAAAATCATTTGTATATATAATTTGTTTATTTATTTATAAAAATATCTAAATGACCCCACTGGGCCAGTAGCTGCATATCTTACACACAGAAGCCATTGGCACACACACACACACACACACACTGTACTTAGTGGCACATGGTTTTAATGTGACGTGGCATGTGCCGATGGATTGCATCATGTGTTGCTCCTCCAGACAGATTTCAGCAGCTAAACGGACGTAATTGTGACAATATCCTAAATACATAGCCTAATTTAGTCTAACTGAAAAAACAAACAAATAAACACATTGACAGGTATTATTTTGTAGTTACTGTGTTACTCTATGTTGTTGAACACACGGAATAACAGTCACATCTGTTACGATGACTGAGGTGTCACTATTAGCAAGAGAAAGGAGGAAGACCCACAGGTGTGCGTGTCTGTTATTTATGTGTTAGATGGGCCAGAAATTGATCTAAATAAACATAGATAGGCTTATAATTTAATTTACAAATAAATGTGGTTCTTAATATTTCACAAATAATTTTATGGAATTATGTAATGAGAAATAAATCTATTTTTTAACCGTGTGAACATGCATTCTTTCTGGAGTTGCTTGAATGTTTCGACACATGCAGTTTACAGTCCTACACCACTATCGAGAGCCGGCGTCACACTTCTGAACCCTCGCTGCCAGTTTTCATGAAGTTTTAGTGACACACACACGTAAGATGCAACCTCTCACCGCTTCTCCACTGGGGTTTGTGTTGTAAAACGGTCGCTAATGAATGTCACTGGATACGAAAACCGTCAGTCATGGATATACAAGGCCTCAAGAACGAGTCAGTCTTTAAGATCTGAGAAATGCTGAAGTGGGCAGAGCTGATCACGAGACCAATGTCGATATGGGAAGTGAGTCTTTTCTCCACAGGTCATGATCATGAGTAATGCTGTCAGAGGTCAGCTGAGGTTTCTAAAATGAAACGTGTTGGTTTCGCTGCCCACGTGTGTGTCCTGAGGCTCTGGTTCCACTCACACACACACACACACATGAACTCGATCGCTTCTGCCGTACCAGGCATCCAACATCATCACACAGATAGAGGCTTCAAAACAAATCCCTTCACACAGGCTACGACTTCTCCAACAGGCCACTGGAATGTGTGATATGACTTGATCTGCTGTATATCATCAGATGAAATGAACATTGCATAAGTTATGTATGATGGAAACAATCCAATCAAAGAATTATTTTCCAACAGAAATGTGTTTGCAGATAAGAGCTGACAAGCAGAAATACAGCTTGGCAAACCCATCCATGTAAATTACAGCGAGCGAGCGGCGTCGCCTCACCCTGCAGTGAAACAGTATATGAAAATACTGGAATATCCAGTAAATACAACTATATCATATATTAGAAAGAAATAATATACTAAAATACGGCTGGGCAACGATTAATCGCATCCAAAATAAAAGTTTGTGTTTACGTGATATATGTGTATGTACTGTGTATAATTATTTTGTATATAAAAATTCAAATACATGCATGTATACATTTAAGAAAAATGTGTTATTAAGATTTAAAATATTTATATTTAATATAAACTATGTATGTATATACATGCAAATATTTCTTAAATATATACATGAATGTGTGTGTATTTATATATAGCCTACAAAATAAGTAGGCTATACACACTGCACACACATATATTATGTAAACACAAACTTTTATTTTGGATGCGATTAATCGATGCCCAGCCCTAAAATGTGGTACTTAATTATAAAAAATATATAAATTATTACATCATTAATTTTTGGGCCACTCGTTGTTATTATTAAACTGATTTTAATAGGCTAAACAAATTAATTACGTTTTTTTTAAATCATTTATTCAGCTGTTATGGTGCCAGTATTTTAGACGTGAACACTATTGACCAATCAGCATTCATAGCGTGAATGCTCCGTTATAATATTAATATTAATGACTACAATTCCCATGAGGCCATCTGTCATCGCCATGATTATCGTTGTTTCTCGTCACTCAGATCAATCAAAGAAAACAAAGAAAACTCATCCGTTCTTGGTCGATGATGCAACGACATCAAAGGTAACAATATTCAGAATTATTTCTGCATTTTCTCTTTTTGCATGAGTGTGTTAATTACATGTGTAGATTGAGCTAAACTAAACCAGTGGCGTCCAAATATGATTGCTTTCACCTGAGGAGATCTTTGACTGGAATTAACTTTAGCAAAGCTCGTGCAATATTAGTTGCAAGCGACCAGTGATGAATATAGTGCACTTCAGACTGTAATATGTATGTTCATGAGTGTTTGATGGCTGTGAAATTGTGTATGAATCTCCAACAGGATGAATTCATATTTTGGTTGCAGCCCTCTAGTGGCAAAAATTAATCTAGAAATGCATTTTGGACGCTACTAGGCTATATATGGGGTTTTTAAGTCCAGAAACTTTGCAACATCAACGCTGTTATTGGAATTGAATCAACACTGAATTCAGTGGATCTGGATCTAAGCGACAACATTGTATTTTTTAAAGCTGCTTTACAATAATTATTTATTAATTCAATTGAAGAACATTGCAATACTGTTAAAAATAACTGTGAAGCTGTCTTAAAGCTCTATAAATGTGAGTTGAGTATTCTGATACTTTTGATTATAGTCATTTTGCAATAATGTATAGACATTTATTATCATAAAAAAATGAGTAAGGATAAGATGCATTACGCATAATCATATCTCATAATGCAATTGGCCCTATCCCTAAACGAGGCGTGTTTTTCAACATTATTTGAAGGGGTGTCGCTTTAAAAATATTCAGTATAATCTGTCTTCTCAGGTTGTTTAGTCATGCAATTTCATTAAAACAATGTTTGTTTTTTTTGCCTGTCAGAGAAGTTTTTTTGCAAATATTCTCACTACACTGTAGTTAGCATTCAGGACCATGTGTAAAGATCTTATATGTGCTTATTTGTGTATTATCTCTGAGCTCTACTGTTAATAATCAGCTTGTTTTGAGATATAATAAGAGAAAGAACATCACCGATCTAATGAAACGAGTCGTTTCTTTCCTAGAAGTGTGCAAAGTCTGCTCTTGTAAAGATCTGCATTAGATTAAGTGTGTGTATCTGCATGTAGTGCTGGATGTTCAGTCGTGAATCTCTAGATGGTGTATGATGGTCCTTTACATGCAATCTGCAAGCAATCACATCATTTCCATATTGCTCATGCTGATTGGCCTCTGCTGACCTGCAGCCAATGAGATGCTTGCTCAGCACTTAAACAGTGTGATTCAGTAATTGTTTGCTGTAAGCTAGTCGTGTAGTTCCTCTGAACATGATGCAGTTAGAGCCGGAGGGGGTGAAAACTTTTGAACAGGATGAAGATTTTTTTGTTTCTTTTTTCCTTCATTTAGTTCTGCCCTTCAGAAGATACTTGCATATTTCCCGGAAGACAAATTAATACAATTTACCTTGATCTTCAAATTACGGCTCTTAAAGGAGTAGTTCACTTTTAAAAACACTTTGGCTGATAATTTACTCGCCGCCATATCATCCAAGATGTCCATGTCTTTCTTTCTTCAGTCGAAAAGAAATGAAGGTTTTTGATGGAAACATTTCAGGATTTTTCTCCATATAATGGACTTCAATGGGAACCAAACGGTTCAAGGTCCAAATGAGAGTTTCAGTGCAGCTTCAAAGGGCTTTAAACGATTTCAGACGATGAATAAGGGTCTAATCAAGCGAAACAAGTGGTCATTTAAAAAATAAATAACAAAGTTGAAGTTTTATAAGTACAAATGCTCGCCTTGCTCTGTTCTGTGCTGAGCGTTCGTGACTCTCCTGTTCGAACTCGTTCATCAAAACGAACGAATCTTTTTTCGAGTCATGTGGTTCATTCAACGAACGAAATGACTCGAAAAAAGATTTGTTCATTTACTTACTAGCTTATTCATAGTCTGGTGTCGTTTAAAGCCCCTTGAAGCTGCACTGAAACTCATTTGAACCGTTTGGTTCCCATTGAAGTCCATTATATGGAGAAAATCCTGGAATGTTTTCATCAAAAACCTTCATTTCTTTTCGACTGAAGAAAGAAAGACATGGACATCTTGGATGACATGGAGGTGAGTAAATTACCAGCAAAAATTGTTTTTAAAAGTGAACT